TCATGGCCCGCAGCACTCTGGGCAGTGCTCTGTTGGGTCATTACAGATGGCCACCAGGTTACAGCTGCCTGCCCACAGGAGTGACAAGGCTGGTGAGCCTGGTTCCACAGATTCTTTTGCCAGCTCCTCCCCCTGCCTGCCCGGTCAGACTGCATGGTCCAGGCTTGTCAGTGTGTGGAAGTCTCTTGCTGCATTGTGTTGCTAATACTTCCTGCATGCTGTAATCTGCCACTTAATTTTTAATGACAGGCACATTTAGACCTTGACTTTATAATCTCTTTGTCTCCTTCCCTCCCTCCCTCCCTCTCTGTTTCTTTTTCTCCCTTTCCACTTCCACTAAAAACCCCTTCCCAACAGGCCCGAATGGAGCCCGCAGGCCGGCCCTTCATGTCTGCTGCACCCCCTGTGTCCCCACAGACTAAGGTGGTGACCCCCTACACAGCCTCGCAGCCGTCCCCCCCGCTGCCCCCGCCGCCTCCCCCTCCTCCTCCTCCCCCTCCGCCCCCCCCTCCACCCCCGCCCCCCCTGCCCAGCCAGGCAGCCCCGTCGGCAGGCTCTGCTGCCACCATGTTTGTCAAGTACAGCACCATCACAAGGCTGCAGAATGCCGCCCAGCACGGCGGGCCCTTCGCCAAGCCTCCCGCAGCACTGCAGGGCCCCCTGCCCGCAGGGAAGCCTCACATCCCTGTGCCCCCCAATGGGGTCATGCCACCCCCTCCGCCTCCACCACCCCCTCCCACTCCAGGCTCCGCCATGGCACAGCTGAAGCCGGCACCTTGTGCCCCCTCTGTGCCACAGTTCACACCGCCACCGCCACCCCCCAAAATCCATCAGGTTCAACCGAGCGTGAGCCAGGCCGCTGCCACCTCCTCACTGCCACCACCACCACCGCCTGTGCCTGCCCCACCACCACCCCAGGCACCCCCAAAGCCTGTCATGGCAGCTCTCCCCCCGCAGCCTAGTGGGAAGGCAGCGTCACCAGGGGTCACACATGTCACCCCTTCTGTGCCAGCTCCCTTGCCCCTTGCAATAAAGAAACAACCAAGTGTCACCTCTCCTCAGGTGCCACCACTGCCCCCAGCCCCTCCTGGCCCTACTCCTCCCCCTACGTTCCCAAAGCAGCAGAGTTTCTCTGTGAAGCCTCCTCCATCCCCTCAGTCTCCGGTGCCATCCGTGGTGAAACAGATAGTTAGCCAGTTCCCACCTCCTCCCACCCCACCTGCCACCGAGCCCCAGCCTCTAAAACCCCTTCCACTGAGCGTGGCTCCGCAGTCGCCTCCAGCAGTGAAGGCAAAGCCCAAATGGCAGCCTGCTTCCGCTCCCTCACCAGATTTCCCCCCTCCTCCACCAGAGAGCAGTTTAGTGTTCCCTCCTCCACCTCCTTCCCCAGCTTCCTCTGCAGGTTCTCCCCCCCCTGACAGATCAGGGTCTCCAGTCAAAAAGACCAGCAAGACATCAAGCCCTGGAGGGAAGAAACCACCTCCAACACCTCAGCGCAACTCCAGCATCAAGTCCACCAGCTCCACTGAGTACCATGAGTCCAAGAGACCTTCAGTGGACCGCCTTGTCAGCAAATTTGCACACCCACCAGAGCCATCAGGGTCTCCTTCCAAGGAGTCATTGCCTCCTGCAGCCCCTCCAAAGCCAGGAAAGCTCAACCTTTCTGGGGTGGGCCTGCCCATTGTCCTTCCGCAAGGAGGGATCCCAGCCAAGGCTCCTGTTCCGAGTGTGTCTGAGAAGGAACCTGTGGTTGAATTCCCTTCGCCACCATCTGATTCAGACTTCCCACCGCCACCACCTGACATAGATCTTCCTCTGCCGCCGGTGGAGATCCCATCTGTGTTTTCAGGCAGCACCTCCCCAAAAGTCGCTGTTGTCAATCCCCAGCCTCAGGCGTGGTCAAAAGCACCTGTGAGAAAGGCCCCACCACCCACGCGCCCCAAGCGGAATGACAGCACTCGACTGACGCAGGCGGAGGTTGCAGAGCCACCGGGACCAGCTGCCCCTCAGGTGCCCACTTCACCCAAGTCCAGCCTTAGCGTTCAGCCGGGATTCCTGGCAGACCTCAACCGGACACTGCAGCGGAAATCCATCACCCGGCACGGCTCCCTCTCCTCTGCACGGATGTCCAGAACAGAGCCCACGGCCACCATGGACGACATGGCCCTGCCTCCGCCTCCACCGGAGCTGCTGGCAGACCAGCAGAAGACAAGCAGCTTTGGGGGCGGTCATTTATCCGGCTATGCAACGTTGCGGAGGGGGCCACCCCCTGCGCCTCCCAAAAGGGATCAGAACACCAAGCTGTCGCGAGACTGGTAACCACCTCCCCAGGGCCGGTGCTCTCCGTGACTTGTGGGCCGCTCCGTGATCGGCCGACCTGTCATCTGGCGCACTTGGAGAGGATGTGGGGATGTAGGTGACAGCCCCATCAAAAGAGGTGATCTCAAACTGTAGCTAAGGCTACATGGAAAGACATTCCCCTTTCACAGCTAGGCCAAAAAAGCTGGGGGCTTGGGGTGTCGATATTTTATTGGGAGAGGTGGGTAGAGAAGCATTAACTTACCCTTTCATTTTTTGTTACCCTTCATACAGATTGGACCAAACCTTCATTTTCTTACATTTTCTGCATTTAGGGGAGGGGGGGAGATAATTTTTTGTAGTGTCTGTCCACGTGAGACATGTTTGTGCATGTATTATAAGTGTAGGTATATAATATATTGTGATATATTTCGTCGCAATTACAGAAGATAACCAGAATGTTTTTGTAGAACCGTATTTATTGTTTCAGTCACTATATTACCTGGAATCGGACTCTGTAACTAGTCACATATTGCCACAGAGATGAAGATGTAGGGGGCACTTTAAAGAAAGGAAGAAAAACAAAACAAAAAACACCCCACAAACCTCTTGGCAGTTTGTGGTGGGTAAACGGTGCAGAGCTGAAGTGTTCTGCTATTAACTGTACATTGTTCAGTGATTGAAAAGTACAGATGTAACATACCAAAACATTCTGGTCATAATACTACTGAAAATGACTATGTTCTGAGGAGGAAAAGAGATTTTATATATAGTGGGCTGGAGTGAAATATATTTATACTATAAAGAGCCTCCCCCTCCCTTCCAAATAGTTTAAAAAATATCCACTGCTACAAATCATTTCAAAGTTATTTATCCCATGCAGTAAATAGGATAAATACATATTATTCTAATCCATTATGCATTCTAACTTTCTAGTAGGCTTCATCACTTCTTTCTGTGGCTCAAGATAAATACATTTGTGTTAACCCCTTTTGAAAGCTGACAGGACTCCTGCAGTCGAGGCTGACCCCCAAGGCTGACACGTGCCGATACATCGCTTGTACGTGTAATTCTTTCCGTGAACGAAAAGGTAGGTTTGTGTAGAGCGTTAGGTACTTGCACAAGCGTACGATGCGTGCAGTCTCACCTTGTCTGTGCCTGGTGGGTTATCTCTACAAAACAAGTTTGTGGAAACATTTAAAGAAAGTTTTTTAAATTCATTAGAAACTGTCAGGAAATTTCCCCTTCAGAGACTGGGGAGTGGTAATTTCATAGAATCATAGAACAGTTAGGGTTGGAAAAGACCTTAAGATCCTCAAGCTCCAACCCCTCTGCCAGGGGCAGGGACACCTCACACTAAACCATGTCACCCAAGGCTCTGTCCAGCCTGGCCTTGAACACCACCAGGGATGGAGCATTCACAACTTCCCTGGGCAACCCATTCCAGTGCCTCACCACCCTTACAGTAAAGAACTTCTTCCTTATACCCAGTCTAAATTTCCCCTGTTTAAGTTTTAACCCGTTACCCCTTGTCCTACCACTACAGTCCCTAACGAAGATTCCCTCCCCAGCATCCCTATAGGCCCCCTTCAGATACTGGAAGGCTGCTACGAGGTCTCCAGGCCTGTTCAACAGCCCCAATTTTCTCAGCCTATCATCATACGGGAGGTGCTCCAGTCCCCTGATCATCCTCGTGGCCCTCCTCTGGACTTGTCCCAACAGTTCCATGTCCTTTTTATGTTGAGGACACCAGAACGGCACACAGTGCTCCAAGTGGGGTCTCACGAGAGCAGAGCAGAATAAAGGGGCAGGATCACCTCCTTCGACCTGCTGGTCACACTCCTTTTGATGCAGCCCAGGATACGGTTGGCTTTCTGGGCTGCAAGCGCACACTGCAGCCCGCTCATGTTAAGTTTCTCATCGACTGACACCCCCAAGGCCAGCACAGTGGGAATTGTCACTCTTTTCTGAGACCCGCCGGAGACTGCAACTAATGCATAAACTTGTTATTTACAAAAGCTGCACTTGTAGCAGTCAAGGGAGAAGACTAGAAAAAAAAACCTTGAGAGGCAATAACATGTGCTAATAAGTTAATTTAAGGGCCCATATGAGTAGGAAATAGACTGTTGTATTTGCTTTGGGTTTTGTTTGCCACCAATGCACAGCCAACCACCAGACCAAGTGCTAGAGCCCTTTTTCTTATACTTGAGTAGTTTCTGATTGTACAGTCTTACGCACGTATCCGGACGTTGCTATAAGGTAGTGTAGTTGATGTAAGTGGTCTTATGTACCATGCGTGTTCATTACAGGGTAGTGGTACACAACCTTTGTAAAGTAACTAAAATACTTGGACTGTACCTGCTCCATCTTTGGTTGCTTTAGCTTCCCTTGTCAGCATGGGGACCCTGTCAGGGCTCAGATGGCAAATGATTTCTCTGCTGGTTTACTTTTTCTCCAAAAACAAGTTTTAAGTGTTTTCCTTCCCCCAAAGATTGAAACAATGGGAATAGCTTGACTTGACAGTATCCTTGAGTGTGTACGACAGATGTAAACTTATCTCTCGTTAGAGTAATTCAGGCTGATAGATTTAAGAAATAATGTGACAGCGTCCCTCATGCCTTTTTTTTGTTTGTTTGTTTGTTTTAATAGAGTGGTTTTTTAAAAACTCCAAATAGTACAATAATGTCTTTGTGAATTACTTTATGAATAGGAAAAAGCTTTGCTAATCGGAGGGTAAAAACGACCCAGCTATAACTATAGAGTTTTAGATAAGTGCATCTTGAAAAGAGATTAATGAATGGTGCTGTTTCTGCTGATGTCTCGTGATTTTTTTACAAATCTGGTTCAGCACCTCTGGAAATCGTTTTACTATTTCTGAGTAGTTTTTTTGAGCAATAAGAGTATATAGCATTGTGCGCATTTTTTAAGCACTGCTATGGAAAGGCACTTTTTTGTATCTTTCAAATTGTTCACAAAGTTTTGTTTCTACTATTTTTGTGCTTATAAAGTGTCCTTAAAAGCATTTGCATTGTTGATGTAAGCACTCTCAGTGTAGCTGGCCAGCAGCTCCACAGGAAGGTTGCTGAGCTGCACTGCAGTTGATGGTGCTGTAATTTTCAACACTGGTCCTCCTGCTGCCTTGTGCTGTGCACAGCTCCGGGGCTCACACCCACCCGTGGAGGCAGAGGTGCAGAGCTGGAGCCAAAACTCCCCAGCTGTTACCCAGGGTAGGTGAGTGGCCACGTTCTCTGGCTCCCTGGCAAGGGGCACCCGGGCTGGTGCAGTGTGCTTCTGGGTGAGAGCAGCCAGGGAATCCTGCTTGCACCATCTGTTTTTCTTTTCCCCCAGGACAGCTCCACTGGTGTTAGTTCCAGCCCTTTTGCTTTTGTTCATTCAGTGTGGGTACCTCTGGGCTTTGGACTCAGCAGAGCAATGTTTTGAGTGCAATTTCTTCAAAGGCATTTGAGATTTTGTTCTCATTTTCCTGTGCTCATGTTCATCACCCAGTATCTCTCCCTAGACAGTGAATCCATGCTACTACTGCAGGCTGCGGAACAGCTTGCTGGGAGACAGAAGTTTAACTCTTTCTTAAGTTTGCAGCAAAAATAACAAGCATCAGCAAAGGTGGCACCCTGTATTGATTGCTTCTTGTTGCATCTTGCTTCCTAAGCCAGTAATGATACAGAAATACAGTGCTCTCAGCTGAGCACTGAAATTTTGGCAACCTGGCTGCCTTTTCAGCTTATGAGACCCCTCGTTGTAACTTGCTTTTTCAGTGTGTTTACTGCTTTTGTGACAGTAAATATTTATGCCTTATTTGCAAGTAAGTTATTTTCCCCTGTGTGGACTGGTCTCATAATTGCACCATTATATTTATTTAAATCAGGAAACTGAGGGACCAGATCTCACACCCACTGCAAGCAGCTTTCTGCTTCCTTTTGGCACTGTTAAAATGAGCATGTGAGAGCCGAGCTTTCATACTCTGGACATAAACGTAGCAGATGCTTTGATCCTAAAATACTGAGAGCGTACAGCTGTTGTGTTAAATGATGAAGCGTATGCCCTTTGACACTTGTTAAGGTCAGGGTGCTGGGGAAAGCCCTGCAGCCACAGGGGCAGCTGAGAGCATACAGCTGTGTTCATTAATCTGGAACAGATTTGGTGCTCATTTCCTCTCTGCCATGCAGCAGGGTGCCTCCTGTTCTGGCAGGTTTCTCTGCCTGCAACGCAGGTGTACAAAGCAGGGAGCCAGTCTTCTCAGACACTTTTGACTGTACTTAGGTCTCGGGGAGTTGCTTTGGAAGGGAAAACAAGGCTCTTATAGCAGCACTAAGCTTATAGGAGAAACTAGTTAACAAACCCCAAAGAAGTCTGGTTCTGAACAAACCCCAGGTACTGTTTGAGGTGGATGTGCTGGGGTTCTGTTTAGTCTTTCAAAACCTGTGGCTGAGGGAGGAGATTAGGCACAAGTCTCACAATAAAATAATCTGCTATTTTCTGTGGAAGAGGAAACCTCCTGCTCTGCTCCTGCGGCAAACCACCGCCTGCTCAGCTTGGTGCATGACCTCAAAGCCAAAGAGCTCCTCTCCTGAACAGTTTTCCTGCAGGGCAACGGTGGCTGACTGACACATCAGGGAAACAAAGCAAAGGTACCTGGATCACTTTGGCTTCAGGTCTGATGGGAGAGGGAGCAGTTTTTTCAACAAGTGCATTTTAAGATTTACTGTTCTGGATTTGCACATTGAAATGTTTTCTTATTTCTTCTTTCTGTGCCCTTAAGCAACCAGATAAATCAGCTCAGAGACAGTGCGGCCAGTTTTCCTCCCAGTTAACATTACTTTTTCCACAGCTTAAAGGAACCAAAAGTGCCATTTCAGCAACAGAAGGGCAAAAGAGAAATCTGGTTGTGACAGAATACTGCATAGAACTAAATTGTTTTACTTCAGTGGTATCATTGCAGGTAAATTTGTTTCTTACTCAAAATAAAATTATATGGGTCTTACTGGGAGTTATCATGTCAAATACAGAATCACGTTGAAATCAGTTGCACTCCGGGAAAGCAGTATAAATTCCTGACAGAAGGTAGTGATGATGCAGCCAGAACATGTGAGTTTGTTTCGTTTCTTCCTTTTTTCACTGTTAAGGTGTAGGTTATGTACTTGTTCAAACAGCACTCCTCGTTTGGACGTGATGGGAATGGAATCATCTTTGAGGGAGATGTTTTCCCACAGCCCATTTGTGGCTCCTGGCTTTGCATTCCCCCGCACAATCAATCAGGACGGACTCCAGACTGGAGAGGATTTAACACTACAAGGGTTAGTTTCTCTTAGATGTTTCTGTAATGTGCTGGTGGGTTTTAAGCTTGTATGGTGGAATAGTAAGTTTGTCTAAAGTTGAGTTATTTTTCTTTCTGAATTATTTTTCTTCTTCAGTTAAGAAAATGCCCGTGAAGACTGACAAACCCAGTGTTACATTGCGGGGGTCCGTGCACTCTGATCTGTGTGATCCAGTGAGTCACGGGCTGTCTAATCTTGAAAAGTTCAAAACACTAAACTGCAAATGGGGTGACAACATGTGTGTATCCCTAACAGTGTAAAGTAATTGATTTGCACTTGATGCATTTGCATTTGATGGCTATTTGGTGCTCTAAGGTGCTGAGTAGGAGCTCTCTGACCATCAGAAGTGTGTATCTATCTGTGGTGAAGAGAGCTAGAAAGAGAAATTAGAGGAACAGGAACTAGTGCTACATGCACCATCTCTTGTGGCAGGGACTTAGTGAGGGAAATGAGTGAGGAGCTTCAGTAACAGATTTTGGAATGCATACCCCTCATTTAAATGCTCAAAGGTGACATGTATTTTAAGAGACTTGGGAATTGAACCAGCTGTTCCCTGCAGTGGAAAACAGTGTCCTCCTACCTTTCCCAAGATGCCAAAGATGCATTCAAAGCTAAATTCCAGGTACTCAGATGTGCTTGCACCAGCCTCTGCCAGGACTGAAGAGCTGCTGTTGGGCAGAACAGGGATGCCGCTGTTGTGTATCTCTTGCCTTTAACTAGCACTGGCAAGTGGGTACCCACCTGCCAGGCAGGGGCAAAGGGAAGTTAAGTTTAGCAAACAAACCTGTGCCCAAGGCTCTCTGCTGCTGATTTGGTGCAGCACTATAAAGCTTGTACTGCTAAAAGGAAAACTGAATGCTTTGTCACAAGTTGTAATGGCAGATGTTGGTCTCCTTTCTAGTGGACTGCGGTGGACCCAAAATTAACTGGAGCAGCAGTTTAGTTTATGGATTACACTATTAGCAGCTGCTGGTGATGTTCTGTATAATATGGGGGATGCAAATGTAAGAAAAAGTGTCATTGCAATGATGATTTGTCTGTGCAGCAAACTTGTGCTGAGTGCTGTAAATACATTCATGTTTACTGCTTTAAAAAGAAAATTGCACATTTTATCTTTCAGTGGGATTGCCTCCCCTCTTCTTCCCTTTCCAAAAAGAAAAATCAAAGCTCTTTTAGACTGATAGCTTCAGGTTGGGGGGAGCTTTGCCATATTATAAATATATATAAATATATGTATAAATATACTTTTTTAAGCATGGGAGAGGACAAAAGAAATACTACATTATAGAGTACCCAGTATAGATCATTATAATGGAATATGCACAATCCAATAAAGATGTAGTTAAATTTAATAATCTGGTTTAATCCTCTGTTTTGCCATTTTCCTTTTTCATGAGTGCAGAACCCATACTGTGTTCTCAGGGCATCAGTGGTTCGGGATCAGGTCACCAAGTTATACGCTCACTCTCAGTAAAATTGCTTTTTATTTCTTTGCATAGCTTTTTCCCATGGGTGAGAGCTGGCGGTACCAGTAACATGGTGCACACCAGGCACAGGTCTAAAGAGGACCTGGTCTGAATGCTCCCCTTTTCTATCTGCGTCCTCCCTCAGGTGTGCAGAGTCCTGTTCTTCATCTTGTTCTCTCTCATGAGAGAGTTCATGCTCTGCTTATGCAAGAACAGCTGATGACTGTTAAGTGCTGCTGCCCCTCTCCGGGGTCCACTGTAGGGGATTTGGCTCTGTTCACCTCCTCCTGGGGTACACTTACCTGCTGGCCCTGCATCACTCAGCTTTTACACCAGGGATTGGAGGTGTTACATTTGTGGTGATGGCAGGAAATGAGTAGTTACACAGAAGTGGATGGAGGAGCTGCTGAAGGCAGCAGGCTGGATACCAGTGCTCATAGCTTCGCTGTGGGAAGTAAGTGTCTCTGGCCTTGCTGTGTCGAAAAGCCTGTAGCTAAAGACAAGGATCGTGACTCGGCAGTGGCACGCTCACAGAACACAGTGTGTGCTTTGTTCTTTTATTTAGGGCTCGTAACAAGAGGGTTTAGTACACGGCAACAGTTAATTCCAAGTACAATTAAAAAAATTTAAAAATTGGGTTTTTCACTCACTGGAAGGTGGTTCAAATGGCACACACAATAAAATATTACTGGTGGCATACAGCTCCCCGGAGTCCTGCGGGCTCTGCACTCAGACACTGCATCAGCAGTGCCAAAAGCAAAAGCACAGTGTGCTTCTCTGACTGCAAACCAAAGAGGGGGCATGGGGGGGTTATCTGCTTTCAGAAAAAAAGTGCATGGACAAAATCCATGTTAGACACTGACATTTCCAGAGAATTCATAGAAACTACTTGTCCATGCAAGTTGCAAAAGACACTTTTTCAAATGTGAAAAGAAGCACTCGTTCTTTACAAAAAAAATCTCAGACATGTCAGCACTTTACCAACGCGCTGTAATGGAAATGGATTTGTACACAGTTCTTCCTCATTAGTCAATAGTGGTTGGATTCTTCTGTGGTTCTAAGAGAAACCAAACAAATGTACTGCACACATTTCAGCAGTCCCCACGCTGGTGGTCAGCAGGATGCTCGGTGTAAGCTTATCTCTGGACAACAGGCTGCTGCTGACCTTTTTGTAACACATCTTGTAACAAGCAAAGGTCCTAATAAAATGTGTATGTTTAGAGTACCAAAGAAAAAAAACCACTTCCTGCACGGGCAGGACATTGCACAAAACACAGGGGTGTTTTTCTGAATGAAACGCCATGGTCTGTGAATTATTCTTTGTAACAGCAGTTGGCAAACCTTGACTCCATCTAGCTTTCAGCATCCGTCCCATGGACATGAGGTGGGTGTCCCACTATTCTTGCAGTTTCAAAATCAGAAGTAGATCAGTAGGACTGTTACTACACACTGGCTTCAGCTACTGGGGAAAGAAAAAACAACAACTACAAACTGTTCTGTTCATGCACCATTCTGACTCCTGGGTAGTACCATTTTACCCACAAACTGTGGCAGCACCAAATACTTGAGATGCCAAAAGGTGGAAAAGGTGAATGTACCTGTAAGCACAGCAGATTCTGGAAAGTGGTGCTCCATGAGCCATAGCTCTTTATCTGCCTGCCAGTGCTCAGTCTACACTACCATCTTCTCTAGAGATCAGGCTTGCAAATACTTGCCTTAGCGAATGCAACAGTGCTGTGCTTTTCTCACTGCCACTATTGTCAACATAGGAATTGAAGTCTCTGCATGGGGTTTGTAATGCTTCCTGAAATGCTGCAGTGCTCGACAAGTGACTTTATACTCTAAATGCAAGTACTGCTCCCAGTAGAAGTCACAGCACTATGGTCTTTCCAGCAGCATCCTCTAGCAGCTTCCAACAAGTTGCTCTGCAAGACAATACAAATGGCACCTATTTCACATGTCCTGTTCCACCCTGGGAGGAGAAGCCCTGTAAATGCTCCCAGTTTGCTAATCCACATGAAGTCGCATCCTTTCTGGAAAGGAAATTAAAGTTTTGCTTTTGATTTATGCCTAAAGCCCAGCAACATAACTAAAAGAGCTGATTTCTAGCAGAGAGGCTCATTCCCACCTCTGGTCAACAGTATGTACATACACACCAGGCAGGCAGCCTACCCTCTGCCAGAAGAGTCCTGCTGCAGCTTCGTTTTTCATGATCAACTGAAACACCCTAGATAAAAGTACCACTTTTCAGACACCGCATTACTGCAAATGTCAACTTTGGCTGTCACCAAGAATCCACAGCAGCACAGCACGTAAATGCTCAGGAGCTGTGAGCTTTAACAAGAACTAGCTGAATCTAAGGCTTCCTGGCATCCACTGATAAGCCACACTGCCACAGACCACTAGCACTGTGGGCAGCTGTGGTTCAAACCAGCAGCAATCTCCAGCCACATTCAGGAACATCCAACTCGACTAACCACAAAAACAACCTGAGTCACAGGAACGTGGTCAGCCTCCTGGTAATACTAGCCTGCTCTGCCAGCTACCTTGGTGCCATACTGCACCTCTTGTACTCCAGTGAGAGCAATGGCTCTTCAGTCTCACCAGTCAGGCCAGCAAGTCTTCAGGCATAGCTTCAGCTCTGGTGCCTACTCCAGTCTATGGGCATGGGCACACCATCAGGATGCTCAAGCACAAAATTTGCTGCTCTGCTGCATCAGTGAGAGAAACAACATGAAGCTATCACAGAAAGATAAAAAAAAACACCCAAAACAATGTGGTGCGACACATGCCACCTCAGCCATGTCTCTGAGGCTGGAAAGAAGGCACCACCATAACCTGCTTCAGCACTAGACAGGGTCAGACTCGTAGGACCTCTTCTAGCACAGGCACATGGCAGCGAGGCAGTTGTAAATAGCATTGGCCCTAGCAAGGAAAGAATCTTGAATACAGCAAACCAAGGCAAGACTCACCACTAGAGGATGCTGACTGAGTTCTGTGCACAATACAAATAGCTGGCTGGGCTAAGGCAGCTCTCTCAAAGGGAGAAACATACTCATTTTGGCCATACAGCATTCTTTGGGCTATTCTGGAGTGTCTCCTTCCCCCACCTGTCTCACGCGTACACACTGCTGATCAACAGCCTGTGATGCTGAGCACATTCAGCTGTGGCAGCAGAACTCAGTGAAGAGATGTGCACCTATCCGAAATACTGAGGTGTTCCCCTCTTCCTTCTCCACCCCCTTTTTAAAGTAAGCATGTAAAAGAAAAAGGAGTGGGGCAAAGAAGGTTTCAGAGAAGGAGAAGTACAAGGGACAAAACTGGAAACTTGACTCTTACTGACTTTACTAGCATGCAATCTATGTTAACAGTAATATACACAGCCTGTTTACCTTGGCCTGATCTAAGACCATTACATCACATCATCCCCAAACAAGCCACAGAATTAAAACCTGTACAAAATAAAAACTATGCATAAACTTCAACAAATTTCTTTACGTTAGTACTGCATAATAAAGCATAAAACCAGCAGGAGGTGACCCAAAAATTCCATCCACAGCAACACTTGCAGCATAAACAATTCCACTTGCTATCAGCAGGGACCTGACTAACCCCTGGGCCCTCAGACCAAGGCCAGTTCCTTAAGGAGCCTCACACATTCCACTCTCAAGGTTTTGCAGCCTCATCTTCCTTGCTGTGCTCTGGCAAGGGCTCAGCACTTCCAGAGTTCACACTGCTCTGCTCTCACAACACAGAAAACTTGCAAGATGAACAAACTGCCTGAGTGAAGAACAAGGACACAGGTGTGTGCCACACTCAGAGGAGGTACACACTATACCCACCCCCCCATCAGAAGCGTTCCAAGCACATGCTCTTTCTTACACAGACCTAGTTAAAAACACATTCCCACAATGCATGACCTCCCACGTGGAGCATGTGTGCACAGGGAGAGAGGCTCAGCTTTCACTCAGTAACTCTCTAAGCTGCCCTAACTTGATGCAATAGAGCACCATGCTCAAGTCTTTATCACAGACAAACCCAGGGCAAGAGAAAGGAGGAAAGCATTGATAGTCCTGTGAGCAAAGGCTTGTGAAATACTGCTGTTCCATCACCTGGGCTGAGAGCACTGCCTCCCTGTGCAAAATGTGCAGGCCTGCCCTATGATACTAGCAACAGTCAGTCCAGTGACTGACAACCTGTGTTTCCAGGCTTGCTCCCAGAGAAACAATGGGGTGAGGAAATTAACCATAGCTGCTTCAGCTAGTCTTGCTGCAAGCCACAGGTTTTCAGAGAAGCAGGTAGTGGATTGATAGGGGGAGAAAGTAACTTTTTTATCTTTGTACCAGTTTCTTTGAACCTGTACCTGCTGTAGGCTTCAACCAAACTAGTTCCGTATGCACTGTCACAGTAGTTAACATAGTCTTCCACAAGCTCACAGGGGTGATCACATTCATCCATGTCCATCCATACAAACACACCTCACGTGTTTGTTTCCTCTTTCTTCCTCAAGCAGCTACAGTGCCTCCCCGCCCAGGTATGCACCAAACCTATACCTCCACCCTGATACTGCACTGATCACCTAACAGGGGCACTGGGTCAGTAACCTGTATCCTTTCCAAAACTCTCACAAACCCAGCCTCGATGCTCTCTTGTGCACTGCTCTGTTCTACACACAGGCCTCAGAAGACAGCTGCAGCACTGTCGCACCCTTGGGGAGCTACTGCTGGTACCAGCTGGAACTCGGCCTGGTGACAGAAGTTGTTCAGGAAGATGCCCTGGCCCAGGAGAGCGGCGATGCAGGGATCAGCTCTATTTGTAGGCCAACAGGACTGCAAGGAGATTTACCCAGGTCACTCTGTTAATGCATGACATTTACCCAAAGATAACATTTGGTCCTTCCTGGAGGCAGACTAGTGCAGCCATCACTTTACACTGATCTGCTGGGCAGAATCACTGAGCAGCATTTTTAACTGAGACTAGATTAAAAAGCAAACTAGCAACACAAGCGGCTACAGAGCCTTTACTTGGTAATAACTCCACCCAGATCCAGCAGTCAGCTCAGAATACCTATTTCTTTATAACAGACAATGGAGAGGGCTGGGGGAAGAGCTAGGACTACTACTAGTTACTGCTTCGATTTCCATGGGAAACCAGTACACACAACAGCCCTTTTTGCTTCCACTGTAGAGATTTTGGCAACAGACATGAAGACGACAATTGCCGTTTGTCCTGCCTCTGCACAGGGCTCTCACAGTACATATGCAAATCTAGTCATCAAGTACAAAACAGCCAATTTACAATACCTGATTGGATTTTTAAGATTATATTGTGCATAAGACTAAAGTCGGGGGTAAGTGTTGCTAGTGCAAGCAGGTGTGAGTAGACTTGAGCCTTAGAACACAGCCCCTAGAGTTTATCCTCAGACCCCAGGAGAACCTGTAAACTTCGTTTTGCATTCACCATCAACGGCATCTTTGAGTTCTGTTTAAACCAGCAGCACCCATGGAAAGTAGCTCACTGTGGAGAGGAGCACACTTACATCAGTGCAGAACACAAAACAAACTGGTGGCATTCAAAAGATGAGGAAATGGGGGTGGGAGTCCTCTGGGCTGCAGCCATTTTAATTGTCAAAACTGAAAGGTGAGTAAATGAAAGCCAGCTCTGTGTGCCCCTGTGTCAGCCTACATGTGCAGAGCAGCTGCAGATGTGTTTATACTAAAGATGTAACCAGCTATCTGGTAGTCAGTTACAGGAACGCCTCTGTGTAAAATTCCAGTTTCCTAGCACATGACTTCTTCCAGCTGCATGGGAGCATCGTTTAGGAACAGGAGGGATGTCCACTAGCTGGTAACCCTTCACCACAAACATCCAGGACATCCCAAGCGCCAGGCACTGCTGCCAAGGGTAGTACCACAAGGACACACAGGATTCCAAGACATACCCCAAGCCTGTCAGAAGAAGTCAGAAATGAAGTATCAGCTACTCAACGAGTTTGTTACATCTGAATGTGTCAGCTTAATTCAGCATCAGATGGTCCAGGATAGCCTCTGCTGGCAGCTGGAAGAGCCATTTGTTCAAACAACTCAAATCACTATTGGTTTATAATGGGGGAGGATGGGAAGAAAGGGGGAAGAGTGGTTGTTACAGTTATCCTTCATTCAGTTAGATTGGATGGGGCCCCAGAGGCTGGTGGAGATCTGGGAAGCCCTGACAGCTCCTGCAGCAGGAGACGCAGTGTTCTGTCCTCTAGTCTTCACTCCGAGTAATGCATGATCGACTCCACATAGTTCCCTGGGAAGAGCCCTGTCACTCCATTCATGACGCCCTCATACCAGCCGTCGTCATTTTTCTTGATGACATAAATAATGGCACCTTCTTGAAACGATAGCTCATCTTCTTTGTCCTTTGTGTAGTCATAGATTGCCACCACTAGGAAAGAACAGAGTGTGACTGTTAGGAGGGGTACAGAGCGGAGAAGGGAAAAAAAAAACCTCAACCTGCCCCATACAAAGTTCCCCACATTCAAGGCAACCTCAGAGAGCTGCACAGCCTCACCTCTGTGTGCGCAGAATAACCTGCTGAAAGCATCAGCTCCCTCCAGCCCCTTTTATAAGAGCTCAATCTTTGCAGCACATGAGTCAGGACCACTCGGAGGAGTCAGGATCCATCAGAGGAAAAGTTTAAAAATACATGAAAACCTTTTGGTGAGGAATGATACAAGGAGGTGGCTGTAGCTCCCCATGGCTATGACTGCTATTTCAGAGTTCATGTATTAGATATATGTACTAAATCAGATCCCTGCACAACTACCAATCAGCAGGAAAACATGAAGAGGAAGAGCAGTAAGAGCTCTTTTCAGATCACAGTAAGCACGAGCCAAGGCTAATGCTTCAGACTTCCATCTACCTTAGATAATGCCACATTTAAATCTGTAACATGCCAAGGTGCTGTCCCAGTAGCTAGAAGTCACTCCCACGGTATACACTGCCAAGGTGGCTCCCAGTTAAGAACTAGGAAGTAAGGTGGTTCTCTGAAACAAAATGTATGCCTACTATATCACAGGACAATTTTCTTACAGCTGCAGAATGTTTTACTGAAGGCACAAAAGCTGTCAGTAAAGTCAAAGAAACTGGACAAAGCACTGGCAAATATTAAAGAGATCATTGTCCTGAAATGGCAGGAAATAGACATCAACACAGTATGTTTTTCCATTCTCAGTCCTACCAATTATTATGTGTTCCATACAGAAAATCCGCTATGCCGGACCCTGAATACTTTAACAAATAGCATCAGTCACTGCTTTGGGCACTTGGCAATGAAACATGCAATGCTGTCACTGAAAGAAAATGGATGTTGGACAGAGATCCTAAAACTCGTACTGAGGATAGAAGGGAAGATACTCTGAACAAAAAGCAAGGAGAAAAAATTAACAGCATGTGTTCACGAGCACAGTGTCCAAGAGTCCTACTAAAATCCTCATGCTGTTCAAAAGAAAAGAGGTCATTTCCTTTTGAGTGGCCAAAGGATTCAATACAAATATTTACTAGGGAAACCTGGATCCTGAAAAGATTATCAAGTAAAACATCCAAATCAATGCCAGTGGAGACTCAGAGTGTCTATAGAGATTTCTCATATTTTGTAACAGATCTCCCAAACAGGAGAGTTGTATCATTTGACCAGAGCATATTTAAAAAACACATGTTGCCAGTTCTATGCTTATGCCAACACTGTTGTGCAGTCACTCATTCTAACTAGTTTTAGACAGACCATTCTAAGGAAACAAAACACTAAAGGAGAAATTAATAAAATTTCAGCTTGAGAACCAGAACTCACTGCACAAACACAAGATACAATTAAAGTCCTCCAAAATTCCTTTTTAACTGCCTTCTATGAACTATATTCTCATTTAAAAACACTTCTTCCTACAGTCGCTGTGCTGTTCTTAAGTCTTTTGATTATAATAATCCAAGGATCGTGGTAACTTACACTTCCCTTCTTTCTCATGTTTGAGTGTACTCTAGTCCCTTCTCATACTGAATGGTCTCACTATTTCATGATCACAAGTAGGAAAAACTCCTTCCTAATTTTGTTACTAAAATCTGCTTCTTGTTAAGCCTCTTATAAAATTACCTGAAGCCTGGTTTTGTTTTTACACCCCTGAGTTACCAGGAGCCCAGGCCAGTACTGCAATAAAGGCTTCAGATGAGACACGAAGCAGCAATACTGACTCAGGAGGTGGCACCCTTCCCTGTGAGACTGAGCCAGGACCTCTTTTCTATCTGAAACATGTTCAGATAGAAACTCAGGTAGTTTCTATCTTAATATGTTTCAATGTACATATGGAAACCAGAATTACTCCTCCAGGTGTATGTTCTTCCCATCGGTGATCTCTGGTCCTTCAGCAATTACACAGTTCGGCTGAACCCCATTCACATCAAACCGACCGTAAACATAGCCTAGACTAATAATCCAACAGAAACCTGATAGATGTGACCACACACCTTCTCTATTTGGCATGAGGGCATTTTTTTCTTCTGGATACCCATTTCTGTTTTTTGATTTGCAAAGCTGGGACATTTTCTTACCACTTCATGCCACAGACCCAGACAGAGAGCACAATGGAAAACTGCAGTATGTTTCCCTGGACACTGCAGGTCGGGTGTTGCTATTATAGCCATGTGTTAGTGCCCTCAAGTTCAACGTCCCCAGCAACCATACCCTACCTAAGAGTTTCTCCATCTGTTCAAAACAGACCTGCTATTCACTTCTTCCTTAACTGTAAGTTAGAGCATGTCTTAATGTTAAATACACCTCCCACAACATATGACCCATTTACAGAACAGGATCACACTGAATCCCATCTCGATGTATAGCAACCCCCTGCATTTAACACCTCCTTGGTGTCCCAGCTTCTATATACTCACTTCTGCAAAGATTATCTGCACTAATCCCATTAGAAACGCTTTCATATGAACTTATTTAAGTGAGCAGCCATACCAAAAGAATAAGCGCAAATCCTAGGAACTGCTACTCTACTTACTGGGGGCAATAGTGTCTGACCAGCCATTTCCACCAGTTTTGTCCACTTTTAATCATGTGGCACAGAATACTGTTTACTGGAACTTCAGGAGTTGCCACAGGAATAATTAATTTGCATTATTTGCATATTTGCTATAAACAACCAATGCACATCAGGGTCCTCTTTTTTCTGTTTCGCTCCTAGCTGAAATGCCACTGAGGGTAGGTAGCATGAATAACAGAAACATAACAGAGATAGTGACACTTGCTGTCGATCAGGGGTGTGGGGAGGTCAACAGATAAAGGGTCTCACAAATGGTCTCAGCTTGATCTCAGCCAAGCTTGGGTACTCCCTGCACTAAACACACCAGCTAAACAGAGGGTGGGAGAATAACAAAAAACCTTCCACATATTCCTCCACCTCCCTCAGGAACAGTAATATTTCCTTTGGGCTGGAGCTGGCAGAAAGCACCTCTTCCATCTCTTTTTCCTCACCCTCCCATCAACTCCTGCACTGGCATTCCTGAATTTTTTCCCTTATGCAAGCTGAATGTTTTTAACAGTCACTCCACTGAGATGCGTAGCAGTATCAGATTTTCTATCACCCTTTCCTAAGAGGTACATGACCCTATTTCACAGGAGAACACCAGGCTGTAGATTTTTTTCATATTCAAGTACCCCTAAGCCATTTACCTATTCAGTTTATTTTACCTGAGTTTTACTCCAGCATGTTCCCACACACGTGCTTCAGAACTGGAAGACATCTAGATGCAGCCCTGCAGCAATACCTCAGTCCTATGCAGACCCAGCACTTTTTAGCTTAGCACTGCCCCACACTGATGCAGCATTGCATCTCAGAGCCCTAACACACACTGCAGCAACTCTCCAGATACACACATATACTCACAGTTCCAAGTGCAATTGCAGCACTGACTCATTCATTTTTGACCTCATATGAATTTGATTATCAGGACTAAGCAGATTACTGAAAGGTGAGTCTTAAATAGATGACAGAGCATTTAAAAAATACATAATTAGCCAGCTAATCAGTATCTTTCTTTTGTGGAGAAAGGGGTGAAAGAGTCAGTCAGACTTAGTAGAGTAGCTTAACTTCTGTTCTCTAAATTACCGTCTGGAAGAGCACCTTCACCACAATACTACAAAGGTGTTTAGGCAGACTCCATGTCCAAAACAGGATGGCAGGTGCTTATGCAAAATTATTGTTGCAAACATGACCCTATCATCTCTACTAGCTCTAAACATACCCTTTTCTAAGTAGGTCCTTGGTGCCCAAGGAGGATCCTCCTCAGCATATGGATCACTGTACTCCACCACTGCTGCTTCCTCCTCCTCATAATCCTCTGGAGGTGGTGGTGGAGGTGGAGATTCATCAAACACTGGCTCATCCACAGGCGGTGGCGGGGGAGGAGTATCTGAAACTGAAAATAAACAGTAGTATAACCATGAAAATGTCTCTAGAACCATGGTAGCAGGCTGAAGAAATACTTCCTATCCCAAGTAGTTGCACTGGGACCAATAGTTAGAACTTGTGGAAATACACTAGAGACAACAAAATTCAGAAAAGGAAGGATCAGGTTTCTTCAAGAAAACTATTTCTTTTTCCCTCCCTTCAAATTTTAGATGAACTTGCAGAGGCAGTAGAGCAGGCAGAATTCTGGCTATATACAGACAAATCCTTCATCCACTCAAAACAAAAGTCATGTCCAGTAATAAACCATAGCACACGGAAGCAGCAAACTTACTGTTTTCTTGAACTCTGGCCACAAATCCCATTAGCGGTAACTGTGGAGTTACCTGTAGGATGGAGGGGGGAGGAGGAGCAAGGGATGCTGCCACAGAAATTAAAAAAAGAGAGGCATTCAGTTAGAAACACAACAAAGCAGCAAACAGGAAAGTAGACGTCATCACCACTCAGACAGTGCAGCAGTCTGCCAGACTCACATATAAAGGCTGACATTCAAAGCAAAATGGCTCAGGTGGTTTAAGGGTATTCCTAAAGCTTACTTCAAGGAGATGTCTCTTGTTTTTAAAATTTCCAACCAGCTCTTTTCCATAAGAATCCATGCTGAAGTATTCTCTTAAGTTGAAGTTTATTGCTACAGGAACACAGCACTTCATGAACAGACCTAAGTAACAAATCAAGAGGATTCTTTCCCTGTAACCCTCCACCTTTCAGATCAAACTGGTATTTTTAGAGATTACTTCTGTAGCAGCATCTACCAATCTTTAGTAATGAAAATTAATATAACAACTCTGCAACAAAAAGTAGGCCAAAACCCCAATCAAAAGCAGCAGTTATTTTACGCAAAACAGCCCACTGCACTCTGAATGGCCCTGGTACAATACATGTGAATTCACACTTAAAGAAGATTTTGCCAGTTGCAATGTTACAACATGGAACTGTGGTTTAAGCCAGGAATGAAAGTTTCAATTTTCTATTTTAGGTTAAAAAGTAGTTACCTAGATGATCTTGTGAGGTCCCTTCCAATCTCTAGCATACTGTGATACTGTGATACCTAGTTTTATGTAGGTTTAGTATCACTTTGCTAAAGTAAGAGAGTAATGTTCTTTAAGCAAGTTACAAGAGTACTGTTTAGAAGGCATGCCTCAGGAAAAGCACAACTAAACAATCTATTAGTAGTGGCATACAAAACATTTAGTAATGTCCAAAAGACCGAGAGGAAAAAGGTGTACACTTCAGGTACCAGTACATTTCTTTAGCCTGCAGAAAACTAAATTTCAGACCAATCCCAGAGCCAGTAAGAAAACTGCCAGGTATGATGTAGTATTTTTCAAAATCAATTCATGTCATCACGGCAAATGAGAAGAGCTCCAGGGCATTTAAAATTAATGTCTCAAAATTTCTTCTGTTGGCTTATTGTATTTCAGTAGAACTATTATCTGAAGTGCTTTGAGTTTCTTCTGTCACTCACATTCACATTTCTTTCACAACTACACATCCCAAACAAAAATAAAAGCCAACAGAGCAATCATCCTTTTTGTTGTAAAATACCCCTGTACTTCCATATAAAGCAAGCTCCGTTACCTCACCATTTAATTGATGTTTCTTGAGAAAAACTGAAATAGATTTCTAATTACAGCTTCTCCAAATTGAGTGACGTGACCTCTGAGGGTATTTATTCTTTCAAGTGTAACCACAGTAGCTAGGAAAAACTTGGCCTTATATTTTTTCAATGAAGGAAAGGGAACTTGAATTTGAAATCCTACTGAAATGCAGTAATATTCATGATTTCAGCATCCTTGTGCAGCTCTGAAGTCCCTGCCTTTTTAATTATACATGCTATAAAAATGCTTAGTTTCAACATGCTTCCTCTATTCATCATATGGATTCACATAATTCATTATCTATCACACGAGACTAGTATTTCCTGGGTCCCTTCAGCATACTTCGTTCATGTGCTATTTCTTTAAAAGAAATAAAGAGGCTTTCCACGTAGAAAATAAATCACTCTAGGCAAGCCTTCCAAGCAAATATGAAAAAAAAAATCCCTTAGATTAGTTTGGGTTATGCAGTTTAATCAAAATGGTGACGCTAACACTAGCTGACATCATTCTTTGTTTATTCACTTGGTTTGTGCTTCCGTCTATGCATAGTGCAGGGACTATCCTATTTATATATATATCATGCTATACGATATATACATATATACATAGCATATCTATCATACTATATGATATATAGTGACTCTAATCTAGTTTTGACATTTAGGAGCCAATACAATAAATATTTTATTAACAATTACTTTGCTTATAAAGGGCATCAAAAGAATTATACCTCTGCTGTCTCAAAAGACAATGTGAACGCCAGCTTAAATGCTCCCTCCCAGCTTCTTTCCATGTGGACCATTGGTAGATTAAGAGTTTATCAACACAGCTGCTGTACACTAATTCAGAAATACCCAAGAGCACCTTCTACTAGACTGCTTCAGACTGATAAGAATTCAGCTACACAGTGTATAGTGCAAACCACCATCTCGGTACTTGCCCAGTTTCTCCCACAGGGTTTTCAGCCTGTGCTGAACTCCGCAATGCTTAGACACTGGTATCTTAAGGCTGAGAAGTTAAAACACTTTTTAGGTGGCGTGGCTAGCAAGAGCAGCTTTGGGCAGACATATGCTGAGACCATTTAGGGTCTGCATTTCTTAATATTTTCAGTTATTAAAAAGGTCTCACCACGAAGCAGGGAAATTACGTTATCTTAGAACTGGCATTCAAAAGAGCAAGACAAGGCAAGGATCTTTCCTTGGGCTGCAATTTAGTTATATACCCTCCTCCATCCCTCTGTCCCCAACAGGACCATCCATTTCCTTCTCATATTATGCACAAACATGGCAGGACAATTCACAAGCTGTACATTTGAACATGATCAAATATTTTAAATGCAGATTGCAGCATTTAACCTAATTCTAAATTCAGTGCTCAATTAAAAAAAAAAAAAAACTAAACAAAGGCACACACACAACACAAAACCAAACCAAACAAACAACAACAAACCCAAACAAACAAAAACCCAAATAAACACACACGCACACAAAACCAAACCAAGCCACTAAAAACCACCATCACAAAACGTAAATGCACTGTGGTACTTCCAAGTCAACATACAATCTTGCTAGTAATGGGTGATTTCTTAACAAGGAACCTTCAGTATGTTCCCTGCATCTTTCACTGCAGCTTTGTTAAAAAAGAGTCTCCCTTACTCTGGTATTGAAACTTTCATGTCACTTCAGAAGCACAGGAAAAGGACTGCTTAGATAAAAAGCAATTGTGTTATGCCTGCCACAGAGACATGCCATTCCTTGTTAGTATCTCAACCTGCTTTTTAAGACAGGCTGTCTATTAAAGTAACATCACCTGTAGACTTAACAGATAACACAGCTCCTTTGTATCCCATACCAAACACCATGATGACTCCAAGGTGTCTAATGCTTATCTTTGTGTAACAAATGCAATTTCTTGAACTGACCATTAATCAGAAGGAAAAAGCATAGAAGATAAAGACTGATCAATGAAGAATCAGTGTTCTGGTGCAATGTCAAATACCCATCCATCCAACAAAGCAGATACATGACACATGGTGTAGTAAAGGATTTAAGCTTCTCTGATAGCGACTGTGAGATCAAAAGTAATTTATTTGGCAACAAAGCCAGTATTGTTTTAAACTGCTTGGCATAATGGACGCTGAACACTCCGTACTTTGACTGCAGCTTTGGCATGGCTACCCGCAATGTACTGGAAGTCACCCGACACTAACTGCAAGATCTGCAGTGGCAAAAGAACGTAAGATTTCAGAGACCTGAAGGCCTCTCCATTCACCTCTGTGCTGAATTCAACAGAGCAGAAAAACTTTCTTACTTGGATTCTGGTTATAAAATGGCCCTCCATTCATCTGGTTCTGAAGGCTTGTTTGCGATGTGATCGAAGGAGGACGCCGATATGGCAAAGATCCCCCTATTGTTGGGGGGGTGTGTCGAGACGCAGGCCTGTTCATGCTGTAGAACTGAACTGGGTGACCTAGGTTAGAAAGAGAAATGTATTAGCAAAGAGAAGAATGATGACTGCCTTTTTTGTATTTGCATTCAAGACTCAAACGCTTGGAAAGGTTTTTGGGTCTTTTTAAAGACATCTGCATCCTAGGAGCTGTCAGCCAGTTCAACTGCAAGGCTGGCAGGACACTGAATATCTCAATAGCAAAACAAAAACCAGCTCTCCCTACTGCCTCTAATCAGCACTGCTCACAAAATCCAAATACAGAAATGTCTAAGTTACAAAGCTTCAATATGAAAGAAAATAATTCCTAGTTATCCATTCTATACAACGCATCTTAATAGCTTCTTGCAAATTTAGTTATTTATAAACCTGCAAAAAAGTTACACTTCACAGTTCAGCAATTAAACATCATACACATACAAACTAACTGTATGCCATTTCCAAGATTCAAAGCTGTTACCTTCTACAACTGAAAAACACAATACTAACTATGCTAGTGCTATTCAGGAAATATGCAGAGAGCCATGCGGGGAGAAGAGAATGTTAGGAACTCCTTGAAGAATGAAATAAATGAAATCATACCCAAAGGCCCTTTCTTTCAGGGAGCTGTGAATTGAAACAACTCCTTAAAAACATGCTCTCAGTTTCAATCACTTCCTGTATCAAAATAATTGATCCTGATTCTAAGCAAGCAATAAATGAAGCAAGACCATTAAGCTCTCTTCTGTGATCAAATAAAGTTCTTTCCTTATACACTGTATGTAATAAACTGGATTTATTATAGTCATATGGGTTATTACCCTCCCTATTCTGCCTCCATCACTTAGCTAGAAATAAATTTCTGAAGAAATGCAAAGAAACAAGGGGAGAAGGGGTGGCCACTGTGGCTGAGGAGAACTGCATGGAGGGGAGTAAACAGGGCAGCAGAACAAAGAAATGGGCATTTTTTAAAAAACCTGCACTGTTTTCTCCATTCTGCTTGGATTCCTTTGCAAAGCTTCCCACTAGGTCAGTAAATAAAATGCTCTGTTACTTGCTCCTAAGAACAAATGCAAAAATTCACATTCCTCCTGCTTTGTATGGATACATCCCAAAAAATGCACTTTTTACAGACAAAGGAGAGGAGTTACTACAAAGGAATCCTCCGTGTGTGTGTATATATATACATATAAATATATATATATATATATATCTTTTCACATTTTTCCTAATACATCTTTCCATGTGTCTCTCTCCCTGTTTCTTAATGCACTGGTAGAAACTGGTGGTGATTAGAATGAAGTGAGGAGAGAAGAAAGATGCATAAGAGATCCTTAAGAACCAAAACCTACAACTTAATAGATGGTAAACTATCCAGTCTCTTCAAACACTTTTTTCAGAGGAGCCATGCAAGCACCCTCACTAATAGCACAGGGCAAGAAAAGATCTTAGAAATAGTAAGTAACCTGAAATTTCTCTTACGGCTTGTGAATGTGAATTTATAGCCATTAAAACATTAATTTCTGCTCGATTTTGATTTATTAAAAATACAGAAGCATTATGGCTTAAGTAGAATACTGACAGCGCATCAAAAATGGAAAACTGACTGAGGGCCCACATGACACAGTTCATCATCTAATCATGGAAGTAGTTTAGACAACAGGATCATCTTCTAATACCAAAATTCATTACAGTATGGAAGCTTCTAGTCAAAGTCATGGATTCTAGCATAAGTATATTCCAATTTTATATGTGTCAAAGCACTTAAACAAAATAGGATTTCAGGAATGCTTCTGACACCTGGTGAAATTCTAAGAGACACCAACAGTAATAAATACACAAACCTATTCAGACCATTGTGATCAGCCTCCACTATAACAATGTAACAAAGGTCGTAGATAGCTCTGTATGAATTTTGCTGTCTAAAGAAGATATTTACAATGCAGGGGTAACTCCCTGTTCAAAACCTGATACAGAACAGTCTTATGGTTATGCTGCAACTTCAGCATATGAGAAAATGAAAAAGTGTAGGGTAATTTCATAAGCATTAAAAAAACCAATTTGCAACATACACCATATGTACCATGTATTAAAATGAAATGCTTTAGCACTATTGTGCATAATAAAAGACTGTATTCCACCTAACACTGAACACAAAAAAATTGCCTTTTTTATCAGTTCATTGAAAGAAGACCTGTCATTTGAAAGCACTGAAGAGACAAGTCATACAAATTACACTTTGCTAGATGCACTTTTTTTTATTCTACCACTGAAAGAGATCAGACCCAAACTATCAGTGCTGCTTCCCCCAACATAATTATTCTATGAGAGTCTCAGTATCCAAACTGTAATAAAATTATAATAATTAATTATATACATGTAAAATAATAAAGGAAAAATTATTGGTCTTTATAAAACTAGCAAATCTTGAATTGTCTGCTGTAGCCATTACCTTATAGCTGGTTATTAGCAGATATTTTCTAGTTATATTTTAAAACATAATTTAAAAAAGGTCACTGCTTCTGAAGTAACTCTGAAAAGCCTTGGATCGTGATCACATCTGGGTTCCTCTGCCCACCAGCTGGAGCAGACACTCACCTGTAGAGGGTGTGGAAGAAACAGCAGGGGGAGTTGGAGAGGTGAAGCCATCAGCAAGGGGCTGAGCTCCTGCAGCAGCAGCAGCAGCATCTGGGGCAGCAGAGGAAGGGGCAGGAGCAGGAGGAGTAGGGGCAGGAGCAGAGGTAGCAGGAAGGGGAGCAGTGCCAGCCGAGCCAGCAGGGGCTACGTGAAGAGAGGAGGAAGAGGTGGAGTTAATAAGGAGATATGTTAGCAAGGATTAGAGAAAGCTGCTGACTATCCAGTGTTAGCTCTTTATTAGAGGCATAGTATTTTAGAATGCACAAGGAAATGAGAGAAAAGTGGAGCTGTTAAAGAAAGGCTCATTCCTATGCAGACGGTAAATGAGGGTCAAGCAAATCCACTTCTTTACAGGTCTGAAGGGAACAACCCAGAACTTCTCACTGAAAGCCATTCACTTCTGAAAGACGCCTTTACACCTTGGTATTTATGCTTCTATCTGCAGCATGGCTGCATTTAGCTTTGCGTAAATTAGCTACTATAGAGAAGAGTAAAGCCAAATATCTCCAGTTCTTTGTTTCAGTAGCATCGTGTATCTCAGATCATGCTGCAAACCAACTATGCACTTCACTTAAAGGACTGAGCAAAGGAAGAAGAGTACTAATGTCACTTCCTATTTCTGGAAAGACTGTGGCAATTACATTTGACAAGTATCTTTTTGTGACAACTCAGGCTTGCACTAATGTACTAAAGATTTTCTCTGTGCCTGCCTCTCACTTCATCTAATTTTCTAAAAACATGCTTATATGTATCTGCACAGCCAATTAAGGAAACAGGTATTTGCTTAAAAGACAAGGGAGAAGTTTCCCCCAGCCTACTAAAAAAGTAGTTGTGCCCTACCTAGTTACATGTAGGCAGCCAGGAAAAAAAAAGATGTGATAAACAAATTAATATATATATGAAACAAGCATGGGAGCACATCAGACACTACCAGAAAAGATATTATTTGATTCAAACTCACACTTTCAATAGCAAGCAATTTTCAAGGCTTACACATTTCTGGATAATGAACTTTGAGACTTCCCTGAGGGTTTAGGAGACTTGCAAATGATAAAGGTTAATGCAGAGTCAGAAACAGGAACAGTAAGTTTCCACTTACCTGGATAGACACTGGGAGGAGATGGTGTAGGGACAGCAATTGGAACACCCACACTTCCACTTCCACTGTTCTCTCGACTGCTACTCCGACTACTTGGATGGCTTCCTCCACTACTCCCACTGCTGCTGCAAGAAACCAAAATAACCCATGGTATGAATATGCTGCTGTGCATGCTGAAACATAAGACCCCTCATATAGCACCTTACTAATTCAGAGAAGTAACAGGGAAAACGAGAAAAGAAACAAGGACGATACAGACCTATATAAAGCTTAGTTTTCCTAAAACTCTGCACTTTTGACTATAACACAACAGTTTTTTCAGTTAGTGACCTTGCCCCAAAATGAAAAAATTTTTGCAACCCTGTTCCACAGCACAGCATTCCAATATTGTTAAACCCTACTGAGCAAAGACAGACCTGTTTCCTGTAACTCATAAAACATGTAGACTGTTCAGACCCTGCTTTCATATGAGATTACTAGAATCTGGAAATTTCAAGACAATGAAGTCAAAGTCAGATTTTCTTGTTTTAAGTCCATCTGTTTTGCCATCCTCAAGTATAAAGATTTCAAGGGTAGTATTTAGACCTGTCACATCACTGAACTTACTATCCTACAGAAAATGCTAGCCTTCTGCATAATCTTTGGTAGTATAATTCAGCTTTATTCTGTGCTTGTTACCAATAGCCTCAAAATACAGTGCTCTTTTTCAGCTACTCAATCTATAAACATCAAAGACCGTTCAAACAAAAATGTGACCATAAACATACTGTGCAGTCCTTCAACATGTAGAAAGCAAGTTGTGTACAAAGTCTTTTCCCAGTTCTGAAAGCATTTCTTAAAATATCACTATCTACCCACTTGAAAAACATCGCAATTTTAGTAACTAAGTACTGTAACTAAGTGATGGCACTAAAATTAAAGTGACTAGGGGATTAAGTGAACAATCTTAAAATGACTCGCTATTCTGGCTTTATTACAAGTGCATTCTCCTCATGCCAAATGATGTCCCAAGTCCATATTGTAAATTAGCAGGTTTCACTGTAAAGGTGCAGATGGATTTGGTATTTATCATGGCTTTTATTGTCTGTGTGCTTATACAGTACTAACCACACACTCTACAGGACTACATTGAATACCTGTATGTGCGATTCCTCTGATTCACAGAAGCAGTTCTAACAGGGCTCTGTTGTGAGGGAGCCATATTGCGCGTTGGGCTAGGCACGTAGTCATTTGGTACCACTGGAGGACGTACTGGCTCCAATGTACGATAGGGAGAATGACGTCTGGCCAAGGACAAGCACATATCAGAAGCAAATTAAAATAATACAGACAAAATTAAAGATTTTTCATTCTTTAAAAGACAGCTACATACTAATCAGTAATAAGAGCTAATGAGAAAAAAGTATGTTTTCCTGCAAGTCTGCTGTATCTACTTCATAGGGTGAGAAAAAACAATTGAGGATTTCTTCATGTACTTCAAGCTTCCTAACAATAAACTCTGTGTTGCACATCCCATTCGTGTTTTAAAAGTAATCCATATCTTGTTTTAAAATAAAACACCACCCTTTGTACGTATATACATAATAACATACCAACAGACTGCATTTATCCCAGTTATAACACATTTTCCTAAGGTCAAAGTCAAGTTCACAGACTTAACAGGAAAGCACTTTCATCACACACAGCATAAATAATTAATGAACAGTGCCACATACTAATTTTCCAGTTGTTTAGCACCATCTGTCAAAGCCACACAGTTACTGATTTTTTACTCTAAAGCACGTAGTTGTAAGTGTTCTGCAATGATAAAGAAGTTCCTGTTGGGAAAGTAATGATGCCCACTGTCTTCTGACAGAAACATGGTAACTGATACATGAGACAAGATCAGTATAAGAGAACGAGAACATAACACCTCTTGACCTTTGTGAATGGTTAAAACAAACAAACAAACAAAAGCAAACCCAAAACCAAACAAAAATACCCAAACCCCACCACAGAAAAAGAAAGAATATTCCCTTTTTCCCCCCTCTTGTTCACCAAAACCTTTTATAGATTTGGTAACTGCACTTACCCAATAGTTCCTTTTCCTGACATCGGTGGACTTGGCGGCTTCTGGGTGGGTGGTGTTGTACGAGGCAGCCCACCCATCTTCATATTCTGTGTGCTGACCTGCATGAAAGAATGGGGAGAAAAAAAAACAGCCTTCACTAAGCTCAAGCTTCTAGGGGGAGAGACACTGAGATGCCTTTAGCAATTAATTAGCTAAACCCAGGACAGTAGGGAAAAGTTAAAATGAACAAAAAAAAATTGGAAGGCCATGCATTTTATATGCAATTTCCACTTTGCTAGAAGTCAAGAGTTGAGCTCAAAGGACTCTTTATTATATGGGGGCTTAAAAAATTGTATGTACAAAGAGTGAATTTGCCTTTAGGCTGTTATATAAACATTAAAACACTAACAATACAGACACTGTATCTAACTTGGTTAAACCCCCCAGTCATCTTTTGAGATAAAGACATTTATTTCAGTTTGCATTACTGAATAGTAGGTTCGCAAAAGTATTTTTGAATAATCTAAAAATACTAAGGTTTATCTGATAAGTGACAATTCAACGCTATCCATACAAATATGGAAGGGTCAAAGTAATCTCCAAATATGATCCATTACTGGCTCAATGTATTCACAGTATGATATTTTTTAAGATAATCTTTATTGTAAATATTACTTATATATATGTAAACCTAGAGAGAAAGCTATATGGAGAAACATAAAAAGATGTAATTTTCCCTCCACCATACCTGTAGCAATTTAATCTCTATGAATTGATAAATAAATGGACGGGGAGAAAAATATTTAGCAGTGATGTGACCTAATTGTGGTTGCCCATTCCCCCTCTTTCAGGGTAAAATACTAACGAAGTAACTTTTGTATAGAAGAATTTAACTTATTTTAAAAACTCATCTGCATTTCTGACTGACTGACCAGTATAGGAATCCTAAACAATTTTTACCAGTGTAGGCATTTAGCTTATGCCAGCCAAGCATAATTCTCTCAATGTATACACCCTTATAGGAATCAATACATGGTCTTCCTACAAGTCTCTGTTAAAACAGCTGTGCTTTACGAATGCTCAAACGAATGCTCAGAGGGATATTCAATAAACCTAACTAAGCTTGCTTATATCCCTTTTTCTGTTGTTCTTTAATGCTCTATTTCACAGTGTTTCTTATTTCCAAAATGTAAGTCTTGTCTACTACCCCTACCTCCCATATATAAAAGAAACGGAGACCAAGGCATTAAGAGTATTTGCAAACACCAGTAAAGGCAAATTACTCCTTTAAAATTTGACTATAAGAACTCATTTAAAACCCTGACAATGTTTAGATTTGTGAATTCATAAATATTGCCAACAGTGCAGAGTAATATATTCAATATTCTAATGCACTGAAACTCAATTCCCTGGCTCTAGATAATCCCAGTGCTATTACATTTTCAATCTGCTAGGAGGAAAAGAAAATCAAGCAATGGAAGTTGTTTGCTGGGTTTGTGTTTCTTTTGTCAGATTCAAAAACCAGATGTTGGATTTAGTTGTGCAAGAGTACTTTGTAATGTCAATTTAAAACTTTATTTTGCATAGTCTTATGAAGTCCTTTAAGCCAACTCTAAGCAACAAGAAATCTAAAGTTAATTCAAGTGAGGGATGAGGTAAGCACTGAACTACAACTACTTGAAGGGAGGAGGGTAAGTGTAAAATGTTTTATTCTATACACGGAACATTAAGAAACAGCACAAAATTAGATTTTTTTTTAAAGTTGCAGCACCCCTGTACTTCCTTTTTAATAAGATGCCTGTTTTACTCACCCACCTCAGTTGCTCAAAAAACCCCACCTTACTGCATTGTCTCTTGCTATATTTCAAACTGCCCATTAAGCCTACAGGGGCTGGGGTTTTGAAAGTTTTTAGATGACAGCAAATGTCAACCAATCTGCATGCCCCTGAGAAGTCCATTTAGGTGTTTCAACCTATTCTTTCTGACCAGATGAAGTAACCACTAGCTAACACTTTACAGTTAATGTAAGATTCCATATATTTAACTATAAAGGCTCTAATTATTCATATACAATCACTGCAGGAACAAAAATGATGTTTTAGGCTTCCACTGGGCTAGAAGTACACAAAAAGAAAGGACAGTAGAGGTGGAAAATGTAGTGGCATCACACAGTATACTGTAACAATTCAAAGTAATACTTGCCTAACACATAACTCCAGTGACTGCTAGTTACTTTCATTAACACTGCGAATAAATACACCCTTGACATAGGGATGGGAAGTAAGCTTTAGAAAATATAGCCAAAGAAGTGGATCATATTTTAGCCAAGAAACTACAGTCACAAAGCAGCCATCCTTTAAGACTAAAATGAAAGATGGGGAAATGCGCTGACAGCAAGCTTAGTTTCAAGCTCTTTGTAATGAGTTTTCAACATTGAAATCAAAATTTTGAAAGACCAGGTTTACAGGGCTGTCATCAAATCTGACAGCACTGATGGCTTTAAGATCAGCTACTGTAACTTCCCCTTTGACTTATGGCCAAATAATCATAGAAGAGAAATAAAGAATATATTTTTCCAACCATTCTGGGAAGATCTGTGGAAATAATACCATACAAACCACTAAGAAAGTTTACAGACTGCCTTGAAGAAAGAAAAGTAAAATAAAACTTAAAACTACAGAGTTGCAACTTCAGTTGAGATACGAACACTGTCACATTTCCAGCTGTCCCCTTCTATGACAACTTCTACTAGGAGGGGGGAAAAGGGAAAAGGGAAAAGGAAGAAGGGAAGCCATTAATGCCCCCTCTTGCAAAATTTTACTCTATTGCCTCCTCTGTTTTGCACATATGATTGTAAAGATCATTTCCATACACAAGTTTTCATTCACACACATCCCTCTTACAAATCCAAAGCAACCACCAGAACTCAGGTCACATTTGCATTTGCTGTTAAGTTTCCAAAATCCCTTTTCTGGAGTAAAGTGGAATTTGCCAGAAGTCACCCGGTTTCTGATCACATTTCCTCTGGCTCTGCACAGCTGAAACTGTGTAGATGCAACTGGTTTAATTAGAGGGTGAAAGCAGAAGAATGCATCTGTCTGCTGGTGGCTGGTTTGCAGGACTACACAGATCTATGGCTGGTGTGTAGTTAAAGCTTGCAAATTCTTTTAGGAAACTGTGTGGCAAAACAGAGCAACCAGAAACACAGGATTATCTTTGCCTCTGCTCACAGCTGCCAAAACAACTAGCCACTGTGCTAAAAAAAAAGAAAAAATTAAGACTGTGGTAATGATGTGGGTACAATGCTCATTAAAAAAAAAAAAAAAGAAAAAAATGCAGCTGACTGTTCTAAAAATGGGAAAACAACCCTGTGAACAGCAAGTAGCACACAGGGTCTACCCAGAACACATGCATGGATTTTTCCTTCTGTTTTTTTTTGCCTCTTCCCATGGAAGCAAGAAAGTAGAAAATATTACAACTATGGACCACTGTTTAAAAGGGTACAATAGTATTTCATCCGGTATCTTCTCTACTAATCTACACTGTCAGTTTTAGAAAGGTGACATCTGATGACTTTAAGATGCAATACAGGACTGACTAGAGCCCTTAGAAAATTATAATTAATGTTTTGAATAAATAAGATTTATTTGCCCAATTTCTATTTTTGGCAACTAGTTTTTCCATAGATCCCAATGATTAAATCACCTTCTTAAGGTGCTACATATGACTGAGTTTCATTCATAGTTAAATATTTAGAAACATTTAAGAGATTAAGCTTGTTTAGCACTCCACCATATAAGAAATTTGTAGTGAAATAAACAACACCGGGAAATCCTGCAGTTCATTCAATTCAGTTCTTGGGAACATTTTCATGGGCAAAAAAATTCACTGAACAAGAAATGCAGAAACACATAGGTGGACAGATGAAAGAGCTGCTCATCAGAGGTGCAAAAACTACAAAAACTATTTGCACCAAAGCAGTGGGTATTTACATGGCTAAAAGGCACTTACCTGTAACAAAGATTTCAATCCATGTGTTTTACTCTTCTGAAGAACATCTCATTGTCACTCCAATTACCAAAACAAAGCGTTTTGGTTTGTTTTTAGGTTTTGTTGTTTGCCTTTTTGGGGATTTGGTTGTTGTTTTTTTTTTTTTGTTGTGGTTCTCCTCACTCCCACCCCATCCCCCCCGTCAAGAATCCTGAATACCAGCTATTCCACACACTCAAATCTCAGGAGGAGCTACTTTCTGGAGCCAAAATCAGGCTCAGCATAGACATTTTTAAGTGGTGCTTTACTGTCATACTGGATTTTCTAGAACTTTCAGCATGTCAAAAGAATCATGTTTTGCCCAAAATCTAGTAAGAAAAAGTGTCCCGTCAGTGATGCTGCATGGATCATATTCAGAAACTTCAAACAGCTACCCAACCTTCTTGAGCAACTTTGTATCTGACTCCAGCAAAAACAAAGGCTGAATGAAATCTACCTTCTGAAACCTTGCTTCATCTTGTTAAACACTACAGAAAGGAGGCACAGATTTTTGACCCATTATCTGTTACCTCAAAGTAAATTCCCTTTCAGGCTGTGCTCAGCCACTTGAATACTTACTCTGCATATCTAATTAAACCATGTGAAATGTCTAAACTGCAACCCTGTCTTGGGAACTGATCATAAGATGCAGCTTCAGCAAGTGAATTAACTAGTTTTCACCACATCCACCTATGTAAAGTAACTGAAGAACCAAGTGTGGCAAATCAAAAAGGTTTAAACAATGTCATCTTCAATTGATTTGCTGACAGCAGATGCTACAGATACTCCTCTGACTTCTAACTGACATTTTCTTCAAAATCTGTTTAAGTTTAACCTACCCAGACACAAGCACAGTTAGCCCTGCTACAGTCAGTCAGTTTACTATTGCAACTGTTGACTAAGACTAAGGGCTGTTTACAGCCATGAAAAATAATGCAGGCTAAACATGTCATATCCAATCTCTCATAAGTAAAATCATTTTTCACATGGAATTAGCGTTAGTAGCTGTCTTTTAGCTTTCATCTCTCAGGCCAATGAACAGCAACTCTACTGAGATTTAACTAGTAACTAATGTCCACTAAGAGAAGCTATGATATTTTTTTACTTTATTCTTTTTTTAAATCCTCACGTTTTGGCAATGAGTTGATTGACATGTTGTGATTTCCCTAATCAAATTTCTGATCAGATTCACTCTGGTGAAAAACAAAGAAACATTTTAACTTGTATTATAACAAAAAAATGTTATTTTCATTCCAAACCTCTAAAAAGAAAAAAATCCTTTTCTCTGAAAAGCTAAAGGCTCTTATCACCATGGCAGATGAGATTAACTGATACAGTACCTCACATAAAATGTGTAATTATAGGTAAATTTATTTTTTGGATGGTCATTACTTGTTTATAACTGAAACTGCAGAGAGCAACAAAAAACACCCGAGTTTGCAAACTGCGTTTTTTGAACTGTGCTCAGAATAAGCCATCTTCAGCATTAGATGTATCCAATTTTGTGTGGATACAGACAGAAAAAGCCAGGGAGAAGATTTTGCATTTCTCAAATAAAAAGCATTTAAACACTATGTGACTTGAAATACCATACCTCACACACTCATGTAAAAAATGTATTTCAACTGACATGCAAGAAATCTCTTATTTATTAAACATTTTCCATTGTGATCAGATATACTACACAGACTTAAATACGTTACTAAAAATACCACCTGGCCAGTTCCATCAGGACATCACTGGGATAGCTACAGTAATACCTGGTTTTATAGGCAACCTTCTCAGGAATACGCACAATTTTCCTTCAGATTTTTCCAGTCACGGAAAACAGTTAGTAATGAAAAATATTTCACAATTAACTTGGAATTCATTTAATTAACATACTACATATAAGTATTCTATGTTCTTAAGTACAGTTCCCTCTTTAAAACTGTAGTGGGCTGCTACTAGAAAACTTTTATTCCCTCTTTTCCCAGACCAGTACCACTTCAGGAAAAGAAAGATGTCACAATGCTCAATTAAGGTTATGACCTATCAATTAATGTTCTATGAACTCCAACACAGTATCATGTAACATCATTTAACTGCTTGTCTAATTGATTTGATGCTTTCTATTGCTACTTCTGCAGCTCCTAAGGCTACTAGCATTTAAACTTTTTCAAAGTCCTTGAGAATTTTACATACTCCACTCTTGAGTTCTTTGATGCACTATTCATTTAATCCTCCACTAAAATGCATCATGTATCTTGTTTAGGATTTATATTTTGCACAACTACCAAACCTGTGAAAATTTCCACATATGAATGCCTCACAGGATTTAAACAGTGCTAGCAGTTTCTGAAAAAAATAAGGATACTGCAACTTTAAAAAATAACATACAGATTTGAGTTTGTTACAGACCTTTGGAGCCCATTATCTGAGCAATCTCACACTGAAACATTAATCCAAATCAAATCATACCTTACACCGCATATAGGATAAAAAGAATATTACACAGGGGGAGGCTCATATTCAGCTGCCTAATTCACTGTACCTTTTCATCTACACAAGATTAGCACATTTCCCCCTTGCAAATCATCTACTAGGTACATTCAAGACAGTTAATATTTTATATAAATATTTATATAAATATATATAAAAAATAATATCTTTTAATTTTCAAATTAACTGTGTTAGCTTCCTTAAATACATCAATTTATATCACAAAATGTTTATCTGCAATGAAATCATTCAACAGAAGGTCTGATACACAGAAGGGAGAGTGGGTGTTGTTTTAAACAATCAAGTAACATTTATGTTAATCATCTCCCCGTGTGTAATAATCTCAGAAGAATAAGAATGGAAATCCAGCCCTGGGGTTTCTTACCTTAAATCTAAGCAACCACTTAATGCATAAATGGAGCAAATAAAAGAGGTAAGGAAAAAAAGCATTGAAAGGTTAGTTGGAACTTCAGGATATGAAGAGAAAGGAAAAAGAAAGAAAAAAGTTAAGCATTCAGCATTAACAAAATAATGTATCAGTAGATCATAGAGTGATTAAAGCAGAAGGTGTCATGAACAAAAAGATTTTCAAGCTGAAACTTTTAACATACATTGACTACAAAGCCTTTAGATTAACACCTTAAAATTAATGCTCTGATTGTACAATGTTTATGCAACTTGTTACAGTGCTAACAAAATGTCAGCTTCTTTCAGAATGAATCATGAGATCTAGACAGATTAGCTTTAGAGATTAAATTATTTGTGCTGTCAAAGGATAGCCTTATCGATAACCTGAGCTCATTTAAATGGTTACATGCATTAACATATTTACAACAGCCTCTAGAATATTAAGCTACTATTTCCTTTCTCAGTTAATATTTCTTTCCTAGACAACGCTGTTAGTTAACTCTTAACCTGATGTCATGACATCTCTTCTTGAACAAATGACAAGAGCAAATCATTATGTCTTGTAAGAAGTACAGCACTCTATATGGATACTGCACCACATACCAGTATTTTCTAAGTTGTATTTTAAGACATTAACCAACAGCTAAATCTTATTTTAAAGCCTAAGTGCTAGCTTTTTGACATTGAGTCCTACACCTTACTGGCATGCATTTCCTCTTCTTTCCACACAATCATTTTTTCAGAAATACTAGTATTTCCATTTCAATGTGATTTGATCTGTTTTCAGTTCAGCTAATCTGAATGTATTATTTTTGTAAAAACAAACATTAAATATGCAGAATCTCAACAGCAGAGCATCCAGAGTGCCTACTCTGTTTCATCCACTTAGAAGAGACCCTAATATATTAAAAAAGAAACATAATTGGATTTATTAGAAAAATCTCCTGTCTTTGAATTTAAAGTTCTATGGATCTATTAACCAAAACAGTCTCTGCTTCATACAGCTACACAGGAAAACCAGGTCCCCCTGTACTGGCCAGAGTGGCCAGTTACATAAGAGGGTCCGTGACCTTTTCCTCAACAGCATTCCCTGATAATTACAGTACCTTAATACACATCACTTTGAATGGATCTTCTCTTCCTTTTTTCCCCTCATCCTCTTGACTAAAGAGCTCTTAGGAGGGACAAACAGATCTGAAGACTTTGTAACTCAGAAAACATTTGAAAAAAATTAAAATCAAATCTCTTTTAGAGAGATCTTCAGATTCCTGCAGCATTGTAGCTTAGGGAGGAGAGACTGTTGGAATGATAGTGGCACTTAAAATTCCCTCTCACCTGTAAAGAAACCATACGGTAAAGCACCTATTCCTGAAGATGCTTTGAATTTCTGAATGGAAGGAATAGGTGCTCAAGTGCCTATACTATGTCTTTCAACATGGTAGACCGGATTTCTTGGCCAAGCACAACAAAAACAGGTTCATAAGCACAACTGGCCACTTTCTCCCATCAGCAACATAATGTTTCTTTCTTCTGTGCTGAACAGAGGATTAACCTGATCGGAACACATCTATGGATCTTAAGGATAGCATGATTTCAAGTTCTCCATTTACTGTTTCACAAGTACACAATATTTTTTCATTTTCTTGATAAATACAGCACATTGTAAATACAATTTGTAAAACATTTTCAGCATACCACAAGCATAAGAATGGATGTAAATACACATTTGACTCATCCATTTGATGAACTATGTTCTTTCAGAACATACCTCATTGCATCAGTGAGTACTGTTCTGCTACATTGAGGTAAGTGGGATACCAGTTATAATGGTTTAGAGCCTGTGCTAAATAAGATTGTGCTGCTGAGCAATTAAAAACTATTCTTTAAGGAGTTCTAAAATAATCTCCTTGAAACAAAAGTGATCATTAAAATATTAGCAACAGTAATCCTACAGGTTAATATGTTTCATTTTAATCCATATCCAGAAGGAGTTCTGCTGACCTGCACAAATTCAAAATTTGTAAGAATTAACAGCAGATTTTAACACAAGACTGGTAATAATTTCTGGGTGAAAACTGTAGTTTTAATGCTGGGATTTGTTGGTTTGGTTTTCCAAATCAAGCTTACAGAGTCACTTGTCTTTTTAAAATCTATTTAAAGTTACAATATGAGATTGACTCTTTTAGTAGGAAATGGGGAAGAAAGACTTTCTGTTAAAGAGCAAGAAGTTGAAAGACCTTGAGAAAAATGTTTGGCAAAGATATTTAAATCAGACTGTTCAGAATTTGAATTTTAGGAGTTTGATTAAACAATCTTTGCCATTTAAATAGCTATCCAAACAGACAGTTCAAATTGAACAACATAGGTAACCTAATGCAGTTAGGTGTCAAGCAAAAGAAATTCTGGTGTACACTGACTTGAAGAAGCACCTTACCTTACTGCTACTTAGCAGGTTTACAGATTTGTTAGATTTTCATGTGAAAATGACACTGCTTTATGTTATTTACCTTTCTTCTCCTGGAACTTTTAACATTGTCAGTATTCTCTTTTCCATATTTGTTTTCCTGGCAGCACAAGTTAACAATAAGCTCACACCTGCTAAGGCTGTTTACATTTAGGATGCGCTTTTAAAAATGTGCATAAATAATCTCGCACATGATATTACTGCTGTTGTGTACACTGATCAAACATCTGCATACAACAGCCACCAGGTGTGCCTCAGTCTGATCTTTGCCCTGATATGCCTTCTTTTTTCCTAGTCTTAAAAGAGAAAACCAGCTGGCTTCAAGCTTGGCAGCAGTATTTCCATTCTGAAACCCCATATAGCACTGAAGTTGTAGAGCACTCACTTTCATAAGCGTATCACAGGATATGGGTATAACTGACTGACAGAAGGAAGAAAAGGCAGCCCATAATACTTCTTATGCAAACCCTTTCTTCGGGTGAGCTTCAAAGTAAACCAGTGGCAATTACAGCTGGATCATAGTTTGTGGTGCTAATTCAGGAAGGAAACTGAAGGTCATTAGCCTTTCAGTCTCCAGGTATATCCCTGGCAACTGATTAAATAAATAAATAACAGCATCACACAAGTAGGGATTCAGAACCATTTTAAAAGGTGAGGCCCATAGTCCCAAATATCCTCAGAAATAAGGTTCAGTAGACTTGCAAGATTTAGAAACACTGGGACAAGGGAACAAGAAGAGGCAACTGCAAACTGGACAGGATTCCTCTTACGCTTATAGACACACTGGCCAAGCAAGGAGAAACTGATGTATTACTACGAAAAACAGCAAGTTATTTTGAAAATATACAAAGACAATGTATTTGCAGTTTGGCTGTTTTAACAATATCACCTACCTTCACTCCATGTCCAATATCATCTAGAATTGTATAATCAATAGGTTTCCTGATGTAGCGAACTGGTCGCTCCAAGTTAGCTGGTGCAATGATTTTGTGAGTTCTTGAGGTGTTTTTGTTTGTAGTCAAGATACCAATTTCTCTTCTAGCAACTTTTTCTTTGTGAATGTCCACCGTCTACAAAAGACGCAGTGTATTTACTAAGAGTGGTATGCATTTGAATACAGAGTCAGTATAAAAGAAAACTGAATTAGTTCCAATGTTTTGAAGATCCCTGTATACTGTGCTAAACATATCACTACGTATACTTGATTCCATCATCTTTGCTCAATTTACTGTTGAACTTGCCACCTTTAAACCCACACTAACAGCTATGGGTTCTCTGGGTTCTCTGTTACTCTAACTCTTTACAGTTCAGCAAAATTTCTTCTCCCTTCCACCCCTGGTAGTTCCCGTCAATTTACTGACACAGTTTTATATGATTCCTCAAATTATTCTTTTTAATTTTACAAATACTCTCTAAGCTTGTCTTGAAATAGGCTCCAACTAGATGAAGTTTAAGGATACCTTCCCAAAACTTAACTTCTATGACCTGAAAAACAAATCATAAACAGGTTTTCTTACACTGTGAAACAGTTTGCTATACTAGGACTGGTAGTCATGTGATAGAATAAAATTTCACTCAGACAAATTGATAAGGTATTTTAGTCATTACAAATCACTCATCACAAAGCAATTATTAGACTTTAGAAGGTGCTCGGTACTGACTTGTCTACAATGAAGCCAATGGTTAAGCCCACTGTCTTCACTTAGAATGTCTAAGGCCAATGCTGAAAATCCCTTCCTCCACATATTACAAGTACCATCAAAGAATGTCCAGTTTAAGATAAAGCCCTGCTGAAAATCTATTGCCTAAAAGCATGTTATTGAATCTTGGCTGGTAACTAGACTAGGAAAAAATGTTTACCTATTCCTTCCAAAAAACAAAATGTCTTAAATCATGTTGCACAGAGTTGTTGCGTCATTTAAAACAAAAAAATTCTTTGCTCACAAAGCAACTTTCCTCATAGGAAACTTGCCAGAGTTGTGAACAAACTTTTCAGCTACAGGCTAACAAGAAAAAGGTAAGAAAACAGCCAAAATCACCAACTCTATCCTAGCCAAAAAAAGGACATGCCATTAGGATTTCTAAACATTCACATGATTTCTTGTTACTGCTTGAGTACATGAACGGCACTAGAAAGACTTTTCACAATTAGGAGGTAGGCTCCGTAGCAATTAAGCAACAGGAACAAATGAGAATTCACTTTCACAACACACATTTCTTTTCACTTCTTTTTTTCCTGTGGGCAGGGACTGGGGCAGTGTGATTGGCTACACTGGTTTACGCTATTGTTTGTTCTACTGATAGCAAAACCAAGCAAAACAGACCCTGCGTTACTTCATGCAACCATCATAACCTTTAAAACTACAAAGATTAAAAACTGAAGAAACAAAAAGCCACTTCCAAGAAGTTATTTCTTTACATTCTTTCCAGAGAAGATTTTCCACAAATACAAAGGACATTATATGGAAGCATAATTGCCATCTATCAAGATCACTTAGTACTTCCTAGCAACACAGTTTCAGGATCTTGCAACTTTGTTAAAGTTATGTACTGAACACAGTTGTCAGGTACATTTCTGCCACCTCTAGTACCATCTGCCCAGAGCTGTAAGGTTTCTACTAAAGTTGCACAGCTATTTCTTAAAGCTATGGAAAAGTAGATTATTCAAAGTCAAAAAATGTTGGCAAGTATCTATGGAAAGCTCAAGTTTGTTTGTTTGAAACTTAACAGGGGTAGTAAACCATGTGGGACACATCTTCCATCACACTCACAAAAAAAAACAACCAACAAACCCAAACAGAATTGGCCAATATATAAACTGTGCAGAAACACACATATTTCTATGACTACTTAACAACTAAAGCACTCTCCATACAATTTTGCCAAAGTCCTTCTTGAAGGTCTCTGTGATGACCCGGTCCAGGTACCATCCCCCAGTACAACAGTGCATATCAGATCTTAACAGTTCTTACAAAGTTACTGGCTGTACAAGCACCAGTGCAAATAGAGCACATAAGCATGTTCCAGGCCAGAATACCAAAAGGATACTGTTCTGCAACAGCATAGGATTTAATACTTTATCATCCATCACAGGTTTTTATCCCTTCTCTGTGACAAAACCTTTGCTTTTGCAGCATAGTGGAATGAGAAGTTCTGGAATAAACAGCAGTCATACCAAAGACAGCCTACAAAATCTTCAGCTCATCTGTTGAACAGTCAGAAAGCACATACTTTCTAATGATATGTGATTGCAGTAACTTGGAGGACAGTCTCATATTTAATGCCACTGAAGAATTCGATCTCCACAATCTCAAACTTCATCTGTGATCTAGACATGTCATTAGAGAACTGCAGAAATACCACGTTGCCTCTTGAATGGTCTGTGTCTCGCAGTCCTCTGGTACCATTAACTAGGATGTTAAACCACCTCAGCTGCAACAGCAGCTGCACCTTAAATGCTATGTGACGTTTCAAATATATTGAAACATCAAAATCTTATGGGTCTGAATCTGGTCATTCAGAACTAGTTTATGCCTTGGACACTACATTTTCAGAGCCTTAATTTCAGTCTATAAATCAGAAGGAAAAAGTAATTCGTGCAGTGTTAGCAAGATTATCTCTTCCTTTCTTTCCAAGAACTTGATGTTTGCAACTTTAAAGATGTTCTTTTAATCTTTTTGTATATATCGATAATTATGCAATTATCCATAAATAGTGTGAGTACAGATAATTTAATGCACATATTACTGCAGTGATGGTACCTTCGCACTGTGAAAAATTGTTTCCGTGAATGAAAAGCATCGTTTTTTAAATTATTCATAGGAGTTATGAGTACAACCAGTTTCCTTAAGGACCATGGTGATCAGTGAGGCATTACTACAGTACCAAATAATTAAATGCATAGAAGCTAATTAAATGCTGAAGCTCATTTAATGGGAATTCTCTTGCATGATGATCCAGAATCTCTCTTTTGCATTGCATAGCTACGGAATAACTAAGAACACAAAATCAGCACCTAACTCTGTTACATACTCCTAAAATTTTAAGTATTTTGCTGGGAGGTTTTTTAAAAGTTTATTTTTTTTTGCTTTAGTAGACACCTAAAACTCTAAGATATTAAGACACCTATAAAACAGAGGAAAGGAACATTCCAGTATTTGATTAGCAAAGAATGGAACAAAGATTAACCTGCTACTAAAGAAAATTAAATAACTTCTCCTCAACACAGGAATTTACTACCTTCAGCACTAGCATAAATCCCTTGAGACAGGAGAATGCTAGCAGAACGTTTATTCAGCAGTTGGGAAACTTCTATTGAGAAGTCTGGGGGATTAGAACTGGACTAACAGAATACCTGGCTTGAAAAGTCTATCAGAAAACACAAATGGGATATCCTGTGCCCTTCTATAACTTAAAGCCACTGTTTGTTAACAAGAAGTTTCAGACCTCTGACAGCTCTCCCTCTACCACCCCCAAGCTCCTTTGGCAAAAACTTTTAAATGGTGGTTTGTTAAAGGCTGGGCTCATTACTATAATGTTTTCATATGCTTTCCTACATGCCTACAATAAGCCAAAGGGAAATAAATTAAAAACCCACTACTTTTTTTTTTTATATTGTTATTAGGAATTTTCTGGCCATTTTGAAACATCAAGTTGCCATACTGAGTTCAATAATAACAGCCTCAAGATCTGTAAAGATCAAAATAAAAAAAACAAAACAAACATTAAATCATTTCTGGGTTTCCAAAATTAACAATATTTACCACTTCATGTAAACGTCACTGAACTCAGTTTTGAGAAATATTCTTCTCTACCTCTAAGTGAAATTTCTCAAGGTATTAAGTTAGTACTTGTGCTGGTTTTGGCTAGTATCAATTTTCTTCACAGCAGTTAGTACAGGGCTATGTTTCAGATTTGTTCTGGAAATAGGGTTGATAACACAGTGATGTTTTAGCTCTTGCTGAGCAGTGCTTACACAGAGTCAAGGCCTTTTCTGCCTCTAACCCCACCTCACCAGTGAGTAGGCTGGGGGTGCACAAAGCTTTGGGAGGGACAGCTGATCCCAACTGATGCAAGGGAGATTACATACCACATGATGTCATGCTCAGCATATAAAGCTGGGGGTAGGTTGGCTGGGAGGCCACTGTTCAGGAATGACCAGGCATCAGTCAGTTGGTAGTGAGCAACTGTTTTCATTTGCATAAATTTTCAGGTTTGACAGGTCTCTCATTTTCCTTTTAATGAAAAATTTTAATCATCATCATTATTATATTTGAATTATTAAACTCCCTTTACCTCAACCCATAAGTTTTTTCACTTTTAGTCTTCTGATTCTCTCTCCACAACATGGGGGGGGGGGGGAAGAGTGAGCAAGCAGCTGTCATGGGCTTAGCTGCCCCAAACCACCACACCACTTTGAAAGTCTAAACTGTAGTGAAATTTCAGAAATAAAAGTCTCCAGAAGCCTTGATCTCTTCTTCTTCTCAAAACAATCTATTGTAAATGTATCAATATGTTGCCAGTCTGAGCTTTTAAAATTCAATTAAAAAAAAAATAATCTTCAAAGGAAACTTTGTTTAAATATAGTGTGGCTGGGTTTTAATTTTTTTTTTTTAAATCTGATCTGATAGAATTTAAATTAATTGCAAATTACCTTGAAAACTGGATTATTACTTGAAAAAGAGTGTCTAATTTTGACAATCAGAAATGTTACTGTAATTGCCTAAAGCTGTATGCAATTTATACTCAAAGAAAGAGGGTATAATGATACAAAAATGCTGAAAACCTACTTGCTCCCTAAACAGGTAATACATACTGTGGAAAATTAGACTTACATTACCAATTTTTTAAGAGTTTGGCTAGTCTTGTAACTTGCAGGACTAAGAACTGAAAATGGTTACAAGGCTTTACTGACTTACCAAGCCACCTTACCTTCAGAGACCAACCAGCTCACACATGTTGCTACGGTTCAGCTAAGTAGCACATGCTGACTATAGAGCAGGTCAAGTCTGTGCCCTATTCAACACCTGCTCCCACACCCAATGTCATGGGAGTCAGATACTGCAGTGCCACTGGAGATAACTCATTACTGTCATTCATCTTTGTGATAGCATGCTTGTTTACATAATCAGCAGCAGAGAACAGTTTTAAAGATTACCTTGCTAACTAAAAAGTATTTTATAACTAAACCTGAGAAAACTACTTCTCATCATACAAATATTAAAACCTGCAAATCTGCCAGATTAATTTAAAGAATTCGGATGTTATGAACTTTTCAGTATCTGCTAACTTGAAAACTGTAACACAGGGGTTTTTTTTAGTAAGTATAAATATTTATGTAGATTATCTGTATTTAGGATTTAAATTTTCAGACAAATATAAAACACTGAATATCATCTAGTTCTGGACAAGGTTCAAAAAGGCACATGAGAATAGGTTCATCAGCTTTCAGACCAAATAAAAGTAATCCTAAATTTTAAACCAATAGGATTTAACCACTTGCATAAAAATATTCAATAGTAACAACTTCCTTATTCAGGGCCTATATATGATCTGAAAAACCACAAATGAGTATCAGCTTCCTTTTCAGTTCTTTGATTAAGTTGGTATTCAGAAGGAAACATAGAAAGTGATATAAATTGGCATTCTATCAATGAACAGAGAGCTCGAATATTTTATCTTATGATCACATATCTTCCAGTTTGAGCTACTCTTGAACAAAATAAGCATTTTAAAAAAAGTTTTCTTACTAAGAGCCAAATTATTTTGCTCCCTTTTTTGGAGAATATAGGGAATTGCAAATCAGAATTAAAAGCAGGATTACATGTCCAGATACCACAATTTGCATTAGTGTTTTCTAAACTTAAGTATCAATAGCTACTGCCCAAAGCATTAATGCAGTAACACACTGCGAGCAGATGGGAATTAGCCACCTGTTTTCTGTTCTACATTACTGACATCATTTCAAGTCAGACAGACTGAAATCATAATTTGGCAATGAGGTATCCTATCATAAGACATTTTAAGTGGTACTAGAAACAGCCCAGTAAACTTTACACTCAACATAAAAACGACCAAGGAAGTCGTGTGCAGGTTAAACTTGTTCCAGAAGAAGTATAACTACATTTCCGGAAAATGTATTATTTGTTACATAGAAACTATGACAAAATAAATTAAAAGAAATTAAAGACAGCTAATACAACATCCACAACACTAGTATCATGGGATGAAGCCATTTCTGAACATATTAAATTCAACTTCATAAAGTTCTTTTGATGAACCAACTTCATGTATGTAATATCCAAAATTCAATACTGTCTGCTCCTCTGATACAATTTCTTCTTTGAAGATTTGGGGAGCATCCTATACATGGATAATGTAGACACCCCCCCCCCAAAAAAAAAAACAAAGCAAAACAAAAAAAAAACACAAACCCAAACCCAAACTAACCTAATTTTCAATTTTACCATGATATTAATTAAAAAAACTCAAAATCACAACAAAAAAAAAAACAAAACAAAGCACCTACTACTTTTTTTGTTCTTACGCAACTACGGCCTATGAATTTTGGCAGATACATCTTCATTAGATGTTGTGTGATTGTAACGTAGTTCTCAGTTTTAACTAACTAGCCATTTATATAAGTGCAAAAGACAATCTAACCAGTATCTAAAGCTGCATAAATCTCAGCTTCTCAGAAGAAAATAAAACTAAAATGCTGTGGCTTTTTTGCAAAGCTATTTTACAGACTCTGTGACAAAATGAACTTTCCACGTCTATAAAATGTGAAATCCAGCCAATTCTGAATATTTTTATTCATGTACTGTCTTTTGCATCACGCTCTCAAAGAGATGAAATACTTGTCAGCTGTCACTATTCTCTCAAGAAACACATACAAACATAGCATATCTACACACACAGTTACATGCACACATACACAGCATATATACATATACACACACAGAGTAATTTGTTACATTTTCTGGGAAAAAAGAAAAAAACTAATTGACTTGTCCATGGATTAAAAAGAAGCATGTAGCAGAAGAAATCAAACGTCTCAGCTTATTTCTGAGGATGAAACTGCATGAGATAACTGAGGCAATCTAACAGGGTACTACTACCAGAAGGGAAAATGCTTGCCACCTCTTTCTTTGCTCTGGAATTCATCTGACCCCTCAATGAGTCAATTCAGCCCAGCATAAAATTATTCACTTCTTTTGCTGATTCAAACATCTGCTAGCTTGGCAAACCTTTCAGCACCAGCAAGTTAATACATCAGCTCAATTTGTTTGTTTCCTATCTTACAAAGCTACTACTTTCAAATGCCTTTCCAAATACCACAATATTCTTTATTTTAATTGATGACATTATCACATGGAGATCAAGAAACTCTAGCAGCTAAAATGTGTTGGCCAAATAAGATACAAAATATTCAATAAGGATGCCCACCAACTCTCAGGTAACGGAAAAACAGAAACTACTGGGTCATTTGCTGTTAATTTCTCTTTTAATCCATCAATTTATATTGCCCTGAAAAACTGCAAAAATGGCATGAGTTCTGCAACCATACACAAATTTGAAACATTAGTTTTGCCTCCTGTTCATGTCATTGCAAAGTACATTTTATTTAGCAAAGCCAGGAGCAAACTACTTTTGTCATCTATGTTTTTGTCATTAGATGCCAGTACTACAGAAACAGGAAAAGTTAAAAGATGACAAGTACTGTTTTTCACCACTGGATTTATATTCCTTTCTTTTAATTGCAAGTGCCTGTAGCCAATAAATACCAAGTACACTAAGCCACCAAACAGGAGCTGGAAAGCTTAATCAGTCCCTTAACATAATATTCTTATTTTTCACATTAGCTATTTTTCTGCACTTTTCACTTATGCAGAATGGCCCCCCTCCAAACAATACACTCGCCAAGAATATACTTAACCTCTTATCCTATGTAAAATTTTCATACTAACACATCATATATATAATCACATAATGAGACCCATTCCCAGAATTAATATAGTAAGAAATGCATCCTTCTGTTTTCAATGCGATTATCTTCCTCATTCACAAAATGTCAGGTAAGTTTTACTTGCTATGTAAGTTCTACTTGCTATGTAAGTTCAATAACAAAGAAGGGGTGCAATCAGGAAAAAAGTCTCACTTGTGAAATATGGTTGATTGAAGATTCCATGCGTCGAAGTTGGGATGCCTGGATATCCAGCATTTGAAGAACATTGTTGGCCAAAGTGTTGATCAGGTAGGCTACGCTTGCTAATGACTGGGTTGTGTAGGCTTTGGTTTCTTCCAGGGCTCGCTGCTTATCTGCTGACTAAAAGCAGAAATAAAAGGTTTACTTAAAGTTTCTCACACAAAGATTATTCAAATGAATCCCTTTTCCCTGTCTTTAAAAGAACAAAGACTTATACAAGTCAAACTAATTCTACATCAAAGTTACAATTTTTCCTCCTTCCCATTCATATCACAAAAGATACTTTGTATTAAGATATTTGTATTAAGAATTTCTGTATTTTATACAAGCTCAAATATAGCATGATACAATACACTCATCTTTTCAAAGTGCAATTTTATACTGTATTTTAGCAATAAACTTTGAAAGCGTTCAGAGATACCTATAATTTAGTTCTTTTAAGCTCTGTATTACTTAGAACTGCTTAGCTCTTCTAAACTTTGTACTTCAATTAGATCTCATAACAGCCTCTACAGATCTGCCAAATACCATATTCCTCATCTTTCCCAATTATTTAGACTTCATTATCGCCACAAATGGTTGCTCACAGTGAATGAACTACAATTACTCCCTTAAAATGGTAGGTGGATAAAATTTGAGAGGAACAGTTTTCAAAGAGAACAAGTCTGTTTTCTTTTTAAAGATGTGCTTCTTCACATTGTCAGTATTTTCTTCTATAAGGAATTAATATGATTCATTTTTCTAGTAGCAGAGCACCTAAAAATATTAAAGCTATCAAGCCAGAAGACATCCATCAGAAATTTAAAAACACAAATACATTTCAAACAACATTACAAATAATACACTAAGAGTTGTCAGGGTTCTGTGCTTCTCCCTTGAGTAACAGTTCACATCACTAAGATCTAATTCAGTACAAAGAATACAAATTAAAGCATGGGTAAAACATATGATTAAGCTGCTAAGAAACGTCTACATTTCCAAGGCTTTGGAATACATGAAATTTCACTTTAGGTGGCTATTTCCTGAGACCCTGTAGTAAGTCTTTTCAAGGATGGGGGTGGAAGTCGCCCAAAAAACAACTAACAACCGCACATGTAAACACAGACACTGGACAATTAAATGCTATTCAATAAATATAGTCAATACTTTTTCTTTCCTGGCAACCTCTCCTGTGCCCACAAACAACACTGGTAATCTGGTTGGCCTGGTCGGATTCCTTCTTACAGGCCATACTAGTACCACTTCCTAGTCGGCTTCTAGAAAGGAAGACAGCAGCAGCTGCTGTTCAGCCATACAAGAGCTCCCACGGTTGTGCAGGAGGGAAGGAATGCTGTAGATGGGAAGCATTCCTGCCTGGCTGTTTCTTTCCCATACCGCAGACAAAACCAGACCCAGCAGCAGAACGAAGTGAAAATCTGAAGAGACTGCTTCTCAGAGCAGAGTATGATAATCCCCAACAGACCATGCTTGTAAAGGCTACCTTATATCCAACTGTAAAGAAGTTAGATAAATGCTATCCCCAGACCCCATTTAACAACTCATGACTTTTAGCCAGCTGAATAGCATGTCTTTATATAAAGTGCTTCAAACTCAGCTTAAGGACTCCCAAATGAAGGAATACAAAGCTGTCTGCCTCTACTCTCACACTTATAAATGCATTTATAAATGCATTCATTCTTTCCCTGCCCCTACTCATAGCCGAAGCTCAGTCTGCAAATACCACTACAGTACACACTACTGGACAGTTTCACAGCTATTCAAACAATTTCTGAATGGCAATAATAAAAATGACCAGAAGCTTTTAAGTTTCCCTCTGCAACAGCTGACAAAGTCTATATACAGAAGCAGAAACTGCTGATTTACATTAACACACTGTATATCCAGAATAGCTAGCAAACAGTATTTTTTCATTAATAGTCCAAAGTGTTTGAGAACAAAAGGAAAACAATTTACCATTTTACAAGTTATGAGCCTCTGCTATGGTCCTACTGCTTAAAGAAATATAAATAGGACTGTGTGTTCAGAGCTAGTCCTTTGATGTAAACTAATAGCTAAATTCAAGTCACCCCATTCACACCAGTTCAAACCAACAAGGAATTGGCTTCTCGATGTTCAAACTCGAGACATTTGGAAGTGTTATTAGCACAAACCCCCTCTTGATTGAGAGGTCTAGTTTGTGTATTTGGCTGATAACCTGAACAACTATCATTTGCTCTGCATGCCTTTATATGGAGCCCAAAATTCTCTGAAGTAAACTCATGCTTGGCACAACATAATTAAAGTCTGAACTTTCTCTCTGTATACTGAAAGATGCAGAATATGTTGACTTTCCAAATTAAAGATATTTGAACTACTATTGTCAAGCCATTTCACAACAACAAATTAATGACAGCATTTTAAAACAACTAAATTCACTCTAAAGATTTTCAAGTAATAAAAACTTGGGTCTCACAAAACAATTTGGGAAAGCAGCTTGGAATACCTACAGCAAATCTAAAGTTCCCCTGTGGAGATGCAATAATAAATTTAATTTGAAATGGTAAGTTGTGTTTTGCGAGAAATCGTACTTCTAATTGAAGTACGTACTCTCTAATTGAGAAAGTAGATTTCCAGAGGTGGTACCTTACCATATGCTCCTATGCAACAAGTTTCTCATGTATACTCCCAATGGACATCAAATTATATTGCTTCCAACTGCTGCCATGCTCAAATCTAGAAACAGATTTAGGTAACCAATAGTACACTAATAACTGAGTATGTAATAACTAGTAACTATGTAACTAAAGGGATTTCTGCAAATAACAATGATTTCAGGTTATCAGCAAATCCCATTCAAACAATAACCCTCATCAGACTAAGACCTGATACTCAGATCTTCAGAACACAAAAGTACCAGTCAATATGATTCATACCTGATTTTAAGGCAGGCAAAAAGTTGTTTCAATATCCACACCTACCTAAAATCTCCAGTGAAAGATCAAAAAAACCTAATTTGGCCCTAATCAAACCAATAGCCTTTCTACAGTAGTTTCAGTAACCTACGGAATACTGTTTCTATGTAGAATATTGAAAACAAGAGAAACATATTTTGCTATGTTCATTATAACAAAATGAAGATGCATTACTGTAAACATTTAAGGATATTAACCAGAATCCTTTAAGCCCCCCAGTTCTCAGAAACATTGCAGTCAGGAATGGTAGGTGTTTCTTCAGTGCCCTGACCTAAATTAAATGCCAAGAAACAGACCATTGAATATCTCTCCATTTTAAAGTCTTCAAGTACCTTTAATCTAGCACTCATGCACAAAAAATTTAGCATGCCTATGAAAAAACAAATTGACATTTTAACATCTATACACACACCACTCTTAGGGAAGCAATACTTTCAACTGTTGAATCAGCTTGACCTGTACTTCTTTTTGATGGATATTAAGAAATCAAAGCTGTTGTCTGACAAATAAGTCTTCTGCAACACTGCCAACACAGGCAGCCACTCATTCCTAGTCTTAACACATCCATTCCACTACTAATCATGATATTATGGAGACTCAGGTTCTAATTTAATCAGCAGTACCCGTGGAAGTAGTGATCCCAACACAAACTACATACTCTTTGCTGTAGTGAACTAGACCAGGAGGCGAGTTCCAAATGAAGATTATCTGATCCATAAACCAAATTATGAGTTCTTCCTCCTCCAAATCACTGCATAGCCACAAAACACACAAGAAAGTACACTATCAAAAATAAACAGATAACTATCCAGAGTTGATCTGCTTCCTAAAGGAACTATGTCTACAAAGTACACATGGCCTCAATTTTGCCAGCCCTCCACTACCTTCCCCCCTCACCTCCCAAGACCTGTCCACGCTGCCTCATTTGTTTCCCTTAATATTTTTCCATTAACTGTGTTAAGAAAGTTGCTAGATCTCCATGTCTTAAAACTTGCCACTTCAACTTTTCAAACAATGTTAAGAACGTACTTGAGCATTGCAGCTGGATCATCTTCACAGCCTTAAAAAGATAAGATGTTTGGATTATTGATGTCTTCCATGCCCACATTATCCAATTTACATGCAGCAACCTAGCATCTATTCTGTTTATTATTTTTCTCCACACAACGCACACAGCAGGTGGTCTACACTGAGTCACAAAGCAACATCCTTTTCTCTTCCAGCAGTAAGAGCGCCATTTTAACTCACCACAGAGAGCTCATCTGATGCTCTTGCCAGCCACATACAGGGTAAGGATGATGTCAGGCTATCTTTGCTGCAGCGGGAAGTGGCACCCCTAGATGCACCCAGACACAGCAACAGCCATTGCTCTGCCCAGCTGTCCCCTGCAGAATATTTTCCAATCTGTAGGAAGCACCCACTACTAAAACAGTTCGTTTTCCTCCTCCAGAAAACAGAACAAAACTATAGACTAGATGGAAATACTGCACAGGATGGATTCAGTCTAAGAGCTACAACATAAACTGCAGTGACTACTCTGTGCAAAGCTGGGGCTTTTAGATAGCAGGAGAAGATGAAAGTCATTCAAGTCAGCTATGAATTCACAGACTTCATATTCAGCCAGAAAAGGCATGTATTACTGTCCTGGTTCAGCAGTAGTAATTTTTTTCTCTTTCTTAGTAGCTGGTGCAGTGCTCTGTTTTTGACTTTCAGGCTGGGAACAGTGCTAATAACACCAATGTTTTCAGTTGCTGCTCAGTAATGTTTACTCCAACCAAGGACTTTGTGAGTCTCATGCTCTGCCAGGGAGGAGGGGAAGCCAGGAGGAAGCAGAGACAGGACACCTGACCCAAACTAGCCAAAGGGGTATTCCACACCACAACACGTCATGCCCACTATATAAACTGGGGGCAGTTACCTGGAAGGGCTAGATCAGTGCTCGGGTCAGGCTGGGCATCGGTTGGCAGGTGGTGAGCAGTTGTATTCTCTTCCCTTGTTATTTCCCTTATCATTATTATTATTGGTGGTAGCAGTAGTGGTCTGTGTTATACCTTAGTTACTGGACTGTATCTCAAACCGTGGCAGTTACATTATTTCGATTCTACTCCCCAGAAGCAGAAGGGAGAAAGTGGGAAGGGGAAGTGAGCGAGTGGCTGCGTGGCCGAGTTG